ATGCTGATACCAAGTCTGGCTTATTTCACTTAGCATAGTAATGTACAGTCCCACCCACACCGCTGCGAATGACAGGATTTCATTCATTTTTATGATCAAACGGTATCACATTGAGCACAGATTGTATTCCCATATCATATCATCCACTGAAAGACATCTGGATTGATTCATTATTGTAGCTATTGTGAAAGTGTCGCAATACACATGGGATTGCAAGAGTCTTTATAACATAATGATTTTACTTATGATTTTCATTTGTGATTTCATAACATGATTCCTTTCAATATAGACTTAGCGGTGGAATTTTGTGGTTATATGATGGTTATTTTAAGAATTTTAAAATTTATTTTATTTTGTAATTATGTGAAGGTATGTGTGTGTGTGTATATATATATATATATATATATGCGCCGTGAGTTCAGGTGCCCATGGAAGCCAGAGGCATCTGATGCCCCTGGAGTTGGAGTTACAGGAACTTGTGCTCCATCCGACATGGATGTTGGGAACTGAATTCAGGTCCTCTGCAAGAGCAAGACATGCTCTCAGCTGCAAAGCTACTACTCCAGCCACAAGTTGTCATTTTTGAAAAGTCACTGCATTGATTGTACTAATTTATATCCCCACAAACACTGTATAAGAGATTTTTTCCCCCTCTGAATCCTCACCAACATTTATCTTTTGTCTTTTTCATTATTTTTATTACATTATTTATTTATTTATTGTTAATGTGGGCAGGCTGGAAGATGGAAGCATGTGGATGTTGAAGTCAACAGACAACTTCAGGAATCAGTTCTCTCCTTCTACCATTTAGACCCCAGGGTTGGAACTCACCATACGCATTCCATCATTTCACCAGCCCCAGGCTTAGAATCTTAATGACTAATCTTATCGATATAACATACTCATAATAATTAATTTACTTCAGGTCATGGTAGAAAACTATAGAGCTTATAAGTGGATATTTTGAAGAGATCTTTAAACGAATCACTTATTTATTTATCTACTCCTCTTTCCGGCTAGCTCCATGCAGGGATATCTACCCCAGTATCCCTGAAACATTCATTCCTGAAGTTTGCTATTTTGGAGGAACAGTTTATTTTATTACTGAGCCACTAAAATGGTTAAACAGATCTCTCTGACTCAAAAATGGTAGGGTAATGATGTTGACAACTGCTTTCTCCACTAGAATTTACCACATACCAGAAAAAAGCAGTAAAAGAAATCATACTATCAGGGAAAAGAGAAGAATTGAATCTGAAAACCCCAAGCCACAGTGGGTACGAACTAGAAGATAGAGCGGTAAATGATTCAACAGAAAGAAAGAGCAAGCTTCATAGGAATGGAAGTGGCTGGCAGCGGAAAGGCCACCCGTGAAAGGCACACTAACACGGCTGATAAACTGAAAAGGTTAATGACTTTGAAATGAACACAAAAGCTACCAAAAGACACAGCAGAAGATTAGACATGAGAGGACTGTTGGATGGCAGTCAGGTGGCTTGTCTACTTTAATAAAAAGAAGAAATGTTATACTACTTAAGTGGCCAGTAACCTGAAACTAGATAGGTCATGGGCCTATGGGAAACCTACTACTACTATTCTGTTAAAGGAACATAGCAATAACATGACTCCCAACGACATGCTGCTGTACTCATAGATCAGGGCTCCACTCACCACCACCAGAGAAGCTGCTTCTTGCAGAGGATAGTAACTCACACAGAGACCCACAACTGGACGATGTGCAGACAGTGAGAGACTTTGGAGCACTCAGTCCTGATGGGATGTCTTCATCAAAGCCTTCCCCTCAAGGCTCAGGGATCTATATGGAAGAGAAGGCAGAAAGACTGTAAGAGCCAGAGGGGATGGATGACTCCAAGGAAACAGTGTCCTCCAAACACAACAGGCCTGGTGTACATATGAACTCACAGAGACTGTGGCAACGTGCACAGAGCCTGCCCAGGTTCAAGCCAGACGGGGTCCCAGCACCAACAGGGAAAGTAGCCAAGGGGTCCCATCCCCAACCAAGAAGCATTCTGAAACTAAGGTCCACCAACAAAAGGAAAATCAGCTTTCTTCAATGCAGTGGGTCTATCAACCACACTCCAGAGCAAGCCTTATGACCAGGAGCACTTGGCCAACACAAAACGAACTCAATTTGTGTGTGTGTGTGTGTGTGTGTGATTGTACATTTTGTTTCTTCTTGGTTTGGCTTTTTAAAAAACGCTGTTATTATTATTATTTATTATTATTATTATTTTGGTCTTATTGATCTTTTATTTTTTTATTTTTGTTTTGTGTTTTTGTGGGTTTTTTAAAAACTTTTTTTGAGAGAGTAAAATTGGGTGGGTAGGGGGGTGAGCAAAATCTGGGAGGGGCTGGGGGAGAGGGAAAAGGTCAAAATACATTGTATAAAAAGAAATTTTTAATTAAAAAAAGAAATATTAGAAATTAGGAGTCAAAAGCCCACAGTCCCCATCTCACAAAAAGAAATATCTTTCAGGATACCCAAGGACTATTCTCTACAGAAACAAAGTCCGAGGGGTACAAAAGACAACAGTCACAAAGACCGTGACAAAGGGGGGTTGAAAGGATGAGACAGACTCTAGATTTAAAAAAAAAAAAAAAAGGCTATTGCGTCACAGACAAAATGGATCACAGAAGGTTTACATCAAATCCTATCACCACAACTCCAGAAACTCCAACAGAAGAGAAGGTCCTAAAGGGTCCAAGAAGAGGGAAGAAAGGGATCCCATGAAAGAACCAAGAATAAATATGATAAAAACAATAAATATAATAAGAAGAATAAGAGGGGGGAAAAAGAACAAAAAATTAAAAAAAAAAACAGGCATTTTCACCTTTAAAAAAAAACTGAGAAATGATTTTTCAACCTGTAAGTTATTATCTAGACAAGCAATCAATCAAGCAGAAGGCTAGAAGTGGCATTTCAGACACAAAGTCTCCCATAAATGCCGCCTCAGGAAGCCAGTAGAGGATACACTCCACCAAATGAGGAAATCAAGCCAGGAAGGAGGAAGAGTGGAGACCAAGAAATGAGAGGCGCAAAAGGAATTCCCGGGTGCAGAGAAAGCTCGTGCAGCTGAATAGTGGCCCGGGAACAACCTGACCAGCACAGAGATCAAAGCTCGGAGGATTTGGGGTGGGGAGATGGAACCCCCACAGAAGTACTAGGACGTGTGAACTACTGAGCGGTTTTGATCCCGGGGGAGTTATAGAATTCACACATACCTCACAGGGAAGACAGGGATGGTAAATAAATGAAAACACAGCCAGATGTGCTACTGCACACTTAGAACCCCAGGGCTCAGGAGGCAGAGACCAGAGAATGAATAGTGAGTCTAAGCTCACAATTCAGTCATTAGATTTCTTTTTCCAATTAGTTTCAGTGTTATTTTGTTAAAAGAATCTGTACCTTATTTAACTTTGATTAGTATTGATTTGTCATTTGTGTGTACTGGAGACCTGATTGTGTTGCTTGCTCCAATCCAGGATGCGCTGTCTCCTGACTCCTGGTGTTTACCAAATATCCACTAAGTTAGGAGAGAGGATTATTCTCTTTCGTCAGCTTCGTTGTGTTTGTCCCTGAAATATCTTTGTCCCAGCTTCTCCTTGTCAGGCTGGGTCTTCTCTCTGTGTCCTTGAAAGCTCTTGTGCCCTCTTCTGTGGCTCACACCCTGAGCTCAGGGGAAAGCAGCGAGTGGGATGCTTCCTTTCTGTTCTTTTTTAACAATCTGCCACCAAGCGGGGGCTTTAAAACAACCAACTTACTACTTCACAGTTTGAGGGGTTAAAAGTCCAAAGCGAGTTTTATAGGGTCTGAAGTTAAGTTGTCAGCAGAGCTGCATCTCCCCTGAGGCTGGAGAGAACAGTGTTTGGTTGCCTTTCCCAGCTTCTAAAGCTTCTATGTTACTTGGTTCAGGAGCTCACACCATTACACAATCCGCTGAGATCAACAAATCTGCTGTTCTGATTCTCAGCCCACCTGGCTCATGTATAAGGACTCTGTGATTAGTGGGCCTGCTCAGATAATTCTAGATGATTCTCCATCTCACAATCCTTAACTTAATCACATCTGCAAGTTCCTTTCTCACGTAAAGTAACAGATTCATGAGCTGCCCCACAAGGACATGGACATCTTTGAGGTGACTGTGTTCTTCTTAGAGATCTTGTGCCCAGACTATTCCCAGAGCAGAAACTTGGATATATATATATACTTTGGTAAAGTGTGGGAATACATTCTCCAGAAAAATCGGGAAACCAGGGAATGGCTGTGAATTAGAAAGGAAGGCTTGTTTCTTTTAGACAGGATATCACTACATACCTCTGGCTGTCCAGGAACTCACCGTGTAGGTCAGGCTGGCCTTGAACTCACAGAGAACCACATGCCTCTGCCTCCAGGCCTGAGGAAGGCATTTTTTAGGGTGAGTGGGCTCATGGACATGTCAGCTTTGGACACACAGGTTACCACATTTGTGAAGACAACCTAAACCACGGTTCTAAAACAGCCACCTAAAAGTCTATTTCAAACTTTGCGAAAACAATAGCAACAGCGAGAATGCAGTGGCCTCGGAAGCAGTCTCTGCCACCGCTTGTGTGCCGCGCCACATTTCACCTTCAGTGATTCTGAAAAGAAACCCGACACTAACTAGCCCAGCCCAAGGGACAGGGACTGCATCATAAGCCACGCTGGAGATAAACCAGGAAATAAACAAACAAACAAAAACAAACCCTGGTTTATCCAAACGGTGGTGGAAATCTGTACCAGGAGCCCTTTCATCTGGGTTCGCATTTTGAAGAGGACTAAATGTGGTGAAGAATCTCACAGCCCACCAGCTGCTTTTCTTTGAAAGGAGATTTCCCTGGCGATACCTACTGAAGCGTGGGCAGATTTCTCTCTTGCTGCGTCATGGGACGTTCCCATCCACCCCCTCCTTTTGTGGGCGTGTGTGTGTGTGTGTGTGTGTGTGTGTGTGTGTGTGTGTGTGTGCAGTTTCTTGCTCACTGTAAGAACACAGCCCTGCCGCCTGTTCCTGTTGCTGCTGCCCTGACTCTCTGCCATCTCTCTCCTCTCTTTTCTCTTCCTGCTTAGCTCCCTTCCTTCTGGTAAGTGTGGCAAACACTCCCGCAAAGCCCTGCGAAGTGCAGCCTGTATGTAGTCTGTAGTGCTCGAAACTTGTGGATGCCAGTGAACGGTGGCAGGCTTTCCATTGTTCAACTTCTAAAGACAACATGTCGATCAGGAAGGGAGTGTGTGTGTGTGTGTGTGTGTGTGTGTGTGTGTGTGTGTGTGTGCAGCCGCAGGGATCTCTAGGACAGAGAACTGGTTTCTCCTCACAGGAGGGGTGCAGAGTCAATAAAGTTTCTAAAAGACAGATTTTAGAGTTTCTCCAATAGAAAATAAATTACCATAGAAAAGGGATCATTTAAAGTTCTTCGGCTTTGTTTGTATTTGGTTTTCCTTCTTGTTTAATTTGTTCTGGGGGCTTTTTTAAGGCAGTAAATTGTCCTGTGAAGAAAAGGCAGCTTACTCTGTTTGAAAAGGAAGCTGGGGTTTGGGGATATAGCACAATAGTAGAGCATTTCAGGTTCTGGGATCGATCCCCAGTGCTACACACACACACACACACACACACACACACACACACACACACACACACACACGCACGCGTGTAGAACAGGGATTTAAAGACTACCCATGGACCTAAGTATAAAAACAAAGAAACAACTGATGGGTGAATGGATCACACACACACTTCCATGTCTCCTAACCACAGAAACATGCCTCGGGACTGTTTGAAACAGCTGCCTTGAAGTTTACTTGACTTCAGATTTCATCCAATGATAATCTCCCCTGCCCTTACAAGCTCACATATGGGTTCAAACCAGTAAATGTTCCCTATTTTCAGTCTGACTTAGCCCCTATTCTCTCAACTTGAGGGATGGAGGGCTAAATGTCAGGACTCATTTTAGAAGAGCTTAAAATAACCTCTGGCTGGACAGCAGGTGACATGTGTCTTTCTCTGCATTCGGGAGAGGCAGGAGTTATATATAGATGACCGTGTAGTAAGGAGAGGTCAGGGTAGAAATTGCCGTGATGGAGACATTGCCACATTATGTGGTAAGAAGTTGATGAACTAGAACTAGTGAACCTCCTTCTAAGTCAGCGAAGGCTGAATGAGACCCACAGGTGGGTGGGGGTGTCTGTCATACGCTGGATTTTTCCACTCTCTTGGCGTTCAAGTGTTCTGACACCTATCGCCCTAAAAATGGGACAAGGAAGCTGTGCAGTTTGGAAAACAGCATGTTTTTGTTTTACTTCCACGCCAGCACAGCAAAACCTGTGAAGCTTGAGGATTTCGCCATATTTTGAAGCTGCTAATTAGCGGCATCATTATTAAATTCTATTTGCAAACAAAATGTACCAGAACTTAAAAAACCTAAGCCAAATCTATCCACCCCTCGAAGGGGTAAGCGCAAAGCCTGGGTTCTTTAATGCAATGTATTGTATTGCTCCATATTTCCCAGAGTCCGTATTATATCTGGGTGTTGTTGTTGTTGCTGCTGGGGATGATGATGGGGGACAGGGTCATAAGCTGAGGAAGGCTTGGGACTCAGTATGTAGCTGAGGATGACTTTGAACTTCTGATCCTCCTGCTTCCGTGTAGAATAATAGGCATGCCCCACTACACCTGGTTTGAGCCTATATTGTATTTGAATTATTTCTCTAGTTGATCTCCCTGTTTACTATACATTTCTTTTTCTTAAAATTCTTACCCTTTCCCAGAACTTTATGTCTTAGAAAACTGTAATTTCTTTTCTTCTAAAATAAAGTCAATTTTCGGAGTAGAGTGGTATAGCAATGTAAGGAATTAGTGTTATAAGTGGGTTGGAGAGATGGCTCAGTGGGTAAGAACCCTTACTCCACACGCACAAGGATTTGAGTTCAGATCCTAACGACCATGTAACAACCCGAGGGTAGGCACATGCACCTGGAATTGCAGTGCTGTGAGGGACAGAGACGGGCAGACAACCGGGGCTTGTTGGCTGCCAACCTAGCACAGGTTCAGTGAGACCCTGTATCAAAGGAACAGGGTGGAGAGTGACAGAGCAGGACACCTGTCATCCTCCTCTGTCCTCCACATGTGCACACACACACGTGTGTATGCACACCTATACACATATACACATGTGAAAATACTCTTACCAGCACCATCGTTATTCCATATTATTGACTTATGTATACATTCCCTCATTCCTCGTTTTAATTCAAAACTAATGCTAGTCTGAAGCTCAAAAAAAAAAAGTGTTTCTGTTCCTTGGTAATTGCACATTGCTCGTTATCAGGGAGAAAGTACCAGGAAAGTGATTTTACCTAATAATGTGTTTACATTAAAGTATGCAAATTGAATTTTTACTTGAAGATTAAAAAGTAGGTTAGGGTTGGCCAGTGGTGGTGCACACCTTTAATCCCAGCCCTTGGGAGGCAGAGGCAGGTGGATCTCTTTGAGTTCAAGGCCAGCCTGGTCTACAAAGTGAGTTCCAAGTCAGCCAGGACTGTTACACAGAGAAACCCTGTCTTGAAAAACATTTTAAAAATGTAGCTTAGGGATGTAACTATTATGAATGATTTTTAGTAAGCACAATGGTTCTTGTATTAAATATTTTAACTTTGAAAGAGAATGTCTATACTCATGTGTTTCTGAGGACTGTGAAATCCACACATGAAAATCTTAATACAAATTGACAAATATATTCATAAAAAACAATACCATGAGTTAACTCAAACGATTTCAGCGGTAAGAGATACTACTAAAATGTGAAGATTACACTCAAAATACAACAGTAACATGACTTGATTTTTAGTGTCAGTGATACATGAAAGTCCATTTTTTTTCTTCAACAGAAACCAAAATTAGTTGGTACCTACCTGAGAGATACCTTTGTCGTTAATCTATAAGTGGGTTCATTACATACAACTTAACTGTGCTTCCCACTAGATACCACTCTCATATGGAGACTAATCACCCTAAACAGCTCTCAGCTGAACAGCCCAAATCTCCTGGGGACAGCTCCTCACTCAATCACAATGGCCTGGGAAAGCAAGATGGCCAGCCGCCCTTAACCTCACTCGGAGCACCAGAGCAGGAGACAAGTGTACACCCTGAGAAGGGAACCCACGACATCTCTGAAGAGTTGAACCGGCAACTGGAAGACATCATAAGCATGTATGGGTCTGCTGCCAGTCCCACGGGGACCCAGGGCACCGCTAAAACAAAGGAGCAGCCTGAAAACACAGAGGCGCCAGACAATGAGGACGGAGACTGTGAAGAAACCTTTGAAGAGACAGACAGAGAACCCACCGCTCCTGAAGAGCCAGCCGCAGCCAAAGAGTCCGTCAGCAATAAAGAGCAAAAGCTGGAGAAGAAGATCCTAAAAGGATTAGGCAAGTACTATGTTCTACTATATGACTTTCCTCTTAATTACCCCATGTGTTTAACTTCACTGAAAGCCATAGCTAATACATTTGGATTAATAAAATAGCCTCCTTTGGGGCTGTATTTGGCCCGAGCCCATTCTTTAAATAAAACTAAAGTAGGGCTGGAGAGATGGCTCAGAGGTTAAGAACACTGACTGCTGAGGTCCTGAGTTCAATTCCCAGCAACCACATGGTGGCTCACAACCATCTGTAATGAGATCTGGTGCCCCCTTCTGGCCTGCAGGCACACATGTTGTATACATAATAAATAAATAAATCTAAAAAAAGTGTTTTAAAAAAATAAATAAAACTAAAGTAAAAGTTTTAACACGATGCCTATCTACTCTACTCCCAGGGCTTCCCGCTGCTCTTAGAGAGAACATCAGAGTTCTTAAGACATTTTTTAGCCCCTTAAACTGATCTAAGCCTAACCAGTTTAAGCTTGATGTCATTTCCCGGTGTCCCCCAGCATCTTTCTTCACCCTTCTACCCCTGCCCCCACCCCTACTGCGGTCATTCTCACCTTCCATGTTGGTTCTTTGAACATCCACGTTCTCTTCCCCAAAGGCCTGTGCACACTCTACCCAGAAACCTCTGCCCACTTTGCCCGGCCACCCTTCCAGCCTCTGGAGCATAAAACTCCTACTTACCATTTAGTCATAACCAAAGGGCAATTTCTTAGCCCAATTCTAAAGTGGTAACTTCTTTGGGTCTGCATTGTACCATGCGTCCTTTTTCATAGTACTAACCAGCATTTTGAATTATACATTTGCGGGGAGAGTATTTGGTTAATGTATCTAACTCCCAGTTGAATTTTTTTCAATCTAAAGAACAATGTGCATATGTGTTTTGAACACCACTGGGTACCTGTGGTATAAGACAGGAGATGACAAATTAAAGGTTCAGTAGATATTTGCTATAAGGATGAATAAATAATGGGAAATGTAAAGCCGGGCGGTGGTGGCGCACGCCTTTAATCCCAGCACTCGGGAGGCAGAGCCAGGCGGATCTCTGTGAGTTCGAGGCCAGCCTGGTCTCCAAAGCGAGTTCCAGGAAAGGCGCAAAGCTACACAGAGAAACCCTGTCTCGAAAAACCAAAAAAAAAAAAAAAATAATAATAATGGGAAATGTAAATGGGAAACTCAAAGCAAACCTAGTGAATAAGCAAAATATAATAAATAGGGATGGTTCATTGATAAAATAATCATCAGTTAGGTCACTTATTATAAAATACTTTTGGTTAAGAACAGATCTCAAAAAATATAGTTACATCTGTCAAGAAAGGCAGAAGACACATACCTGCGCACATCCACTCACTGGTCTCACGACTATTTGTTAATGCCTGGTTACGAGGCACTGTGCTGGGAGCACAAAAAGAGTGATCCCTTTGGTTAAAGGTCTCTCCATACAGAGAAAAAAGGAAACACATGAACCGTTATAGAGCAGAAACAGGCAGAGGAGAAAATGTTTTGAAGAGCGTGGCGGATTGGTAGCACCAATAACTGTGAATGAAGGGAAAAATGCTGATTTTGTGGCAATGGCTGAAAAAATATTACTATGCCTAGGAAACTCCTCAGTCCGTCCCCACTAGTGACTGCCACTAAAACACTCACGTCAAAGATGACTTCCCATGTAAGACTCTGTTAGCATCACCTCTCTCATGTCTCCATTTTCTCCAGCTTCCCTGCTAGACGGCTGAGTTCTCAAGGGTAGAACCCACACCTCGCTCATCTGTACAGTGTGTGGAGTGAAATACCAAAGGGATTGAGTCAGAACACCGTTCACACTCCACACACTCCAGCAACAGATTTCTATCTGTAAACCCAAGTAGTCTACACTAGAGTAGGGCACCAGTGTGTGCATAAAACTCATTCTGAAAGGGATTTCCGGAAGGGTTTAATGATACACCTGACCGCCCCCAACATAAAGATCACAACAACGTTTAATAAATTTTCACACTCCCAAAATGCAAGGCTGAATCATTCTAAAGCGCTGGGAGTTATTATAACGTCCTTCTGTGTTAAAGGACAATTTTTTCACTTCTCCAATCAAATCATCTCAGACGTGCCTCTTGGCACTGTCCCATTAAGGACCCAGAATGTCTCTGACCCATTGTGCATAGCATTCCTAAACCATTTAGATAGGGAGTTCTGTGTATTGGCTGTAATAAGGGACAAACTATGAAGAAAATGAGGGGAAGCCAAAGGCAACCAACTGGAGCATTCTCTCCCATGAATTATTTTATAAATCTGTATAATATCTACAACTATCAAAAAATTAGGACAGTTTCTCAGAATGAGGAAAAAAATTACACTCCTTTTTTCCCCTGCCAGTCCAATGTGTTTGGCTAGACTTTCTGTTTGTGCATCAGAGGCCAACTCTCAGCATGTGTGGGCTGGTGGCCTTTCTGTGCTATCCCACTCTATATCATTAACACATTCTTCTACACACAGTACGGTCTCAGCTACACTCATAGTTACAACAACATTTTCGGGCAAGCCTACACATAAAACCGCCACTTCCAACTTAGCTGCCTACAAGTGGCTTTAGGAAACTTCTTGGCTACTTGTTAATTGCATGGTGCTGCAATATTGTCTACAAACATCACTGTGTGTTTAAATCAAATTCAGAACTTGTCAAAACTCTGCCATGCACAGAGATTCAGAACTGGTGTACATAAAGCCAGCCAAAGGCACTATGGCAATTCAGCAGGAAGCAGGTTGTGGAAGAAAAGGGTGCTCCAGCTTCAGAAACTGTTTCTTCCCTTAGAAGTAATAGAGTCTTGGCTGCGGACTTCTTCCTGGGGAAAGAGCTTCCCTGGGCAGAAGGAGGTTGCCAGACAAGGTAAGGCTCGGCCTGCATCTGCCATTTACCGAAGCAGATACTTGTAACCGTCTTTTTATAAGAGGCATCCCTGTGACTGCAGAGGGCCGCCGTTTCTCTGAATAAAAATCCTAAATATGCCAGAGAAGCGGGTTTGTTATGGGATATTTCACTTACCTGACTACAGGTAAGTTTCAATACATACACCAAGAAACCCAAAAGAAAGACAGTTAACTCTGTAACATCTTCAGACACCCATTCACTTCTCCTCATCTTCTTTAGAACAGTCACACACACACACACACACACACACACACACACACACACACACACATACACACACACACACACACACCCCAGATGGTCTAATCCATTTCTGGTTGATCTATACAAATTCCGAGAGGACACCAATCCATAGTTTTGACATAATTTCTAAATGTTCTTGAGGAGAGGATGAGAGACCAGCGGAACTCAAGGAGAAGAGGAATTGGTGAGACTCAACGATGGATGAGCAGGTTCACAGAGAAACTGAAACTTGGATCAGAATTGAGTAGAGACATGGCCGGGCGGTGGTGGCGCACGCCTTTAATCCCAGCACTCGGGAGGCAGAGCCAGGCGGATCTCTGTGAGTTCAAGGCCAGCCTGGACTACAGAGTGAGTTCCAGGAAAGGCGCAAAACTACACAGAGAAACCCTGTCTCGAAAAACCAAAAAAAAAAAAAAGAATTGAGTAGAGACAGGTGTTAGAGAAGCAGAGTCAGGGCTTGAGAAAACAAGTCTCGAGCAGAACGATTCATTCTCTCTGCTGAGCACAGGAGACAGGGTCCACGTTAACACCTTCTTATTCTTTCTGAATTTTTTTTCATGATTACTAGTAGTGTAACTACATCACCAGCGGACCCTCATGAGAAACCCAGGTCTATTGTCTAGGTGAGTGAAAGGCTGAAGTTCCAAATGCAGCTGTACTACGGTCACTAAAATTCCAGAGGCACAAAATATCAACTTAAGGGAAGATGCTGTGACTAGAAAACACAGGCCGGGTAGAACTGTCAAAACTGATTGTGGTCTTAAAACCAAGAGAAACAATCAGATGCTGGGACTGTGTGAGGAGACATTGAGGGTGAGAGTACTAACCGAAAATGTCGATCCACACTCAACACCCCAGGATGACGAAACGTGTGACCCATCAATGCCGTCGTTTCTCCTGGATTGCTATTTGTACCAGGCTATACGTGGTTGTAGACATTTCACTTGTGGAGACACCAGACCTTAAAGACTGGCTTCCCAAGCCATTTAGTCAACTCAGTAATTTAATTTGATAGTCAGGGAAACTGAGGCTACTAAGTTGCTTAACTTGTTGATGGAAGTATGGCTTCTAAAACTTAGGTCTCCTAGTTAGATGTGAATTTTCCTGAAAAGGTATCTATTTGTGTTCAAAAATGCTTTGTTTAACACTCACTGATGTTCAGTTGTATGAACAGGAGAACAAAAATTAACATTAAAATGTGACTCTGTTAGATGTGAACTTTCCTGAAAAGGTATCTATTCATGTTTGAAAATGCTTTGTTTAACACTCACTGATGTTCAGTTGTATGAACAGGAGAACAAAAATTAACATTGAAATGTGACTCTGGGTGTAACATTTGAAAGAGGACACACTCTTCCACAATACAGGGAAGAAGAAGAAAACACAGAATTGTACAAGCGGGTACACAACAACAAATTTTACCCCCTCCATCAAAAATAAGATAAAAGAAACCCTTTGGGAGAGAAAAAGCCTAAGTTTAGGGATACATTGCATCTCTGCAAGCAACCGTGACATTTAGTAAAAGCAAGCATCACTGTACTGGAGAAAAATCCTGGTTCACATTTCTACAGCTGTTTCAGTTGTCTGAAAGTTAAGGTTTTTAATTTCTTTCCCAAATGCTGGACAAAAGCCAATTTTGAAAATGTCTTTTATGTAAAAACAGCTCCTTCATCCTGCAATACAACTGCACCAGTGGCCACAGCTAAGTGCCACAGTGTTGTCCTCGTGCTACAGGTGCTTCAACTTTACACAGCTTCCCAACAAAAGAGCTTCGCACTGTGGTAGTCATATGCCCACCGCAAGCCTTCCTCAGCTCTTACAGGGAGAAATGAGGCATCCTTCCATCCAGGAGAAGGCAGATGATGCCCACCTGATAAAATGTTCTAGAGTAAAGCCGGGTTTTCCTCTTAGGGCTAATATGCCAGCACTTGGCTCTGTTTCCATGAAAATGCAATAACAGTTCTCTTGGAGAGTGAGTCCATCTCTGTCTGTTCCTCTCCTCCGTGAGTGTCCCACACAGCACCCTAGCCCCCCAAAACCCATGTAGGTTTAAAACCTAACATCTCTGATGCATTCTATTCACACCTCTCTATAGCGTCTTGAATTTTCTTTTGAGGCTGGGAACAATTTTTGAAGGTGTATTGATAGACTGGAATGATAGATAAACATCTATTAAAAAATGGGAAACTACTAGAGCAGAACGGGATCTCAGTTAACGTGAAGATTATGCAACAGGAACAGCAAAACGCCCTCTGTTAGCTACAGAAAATACAACTTAAACAGACAAACCACTTGAGAAGAAGAAAACACCAGAGTCACTCATCTCTGCCTTTCCAGTAAGACATGCAATGGCCTCATATGTTCATGTTCATCACAAGACGTCTTCCCACACACTAAATCTCCAGGTGAAGGTAAATGTTTACCTTCCTCTACTTACCCAGCACATTGTCATTTGATTTGCCTGATACCTGCGTCTGCTAGCTGGCTTTATCTCACTCTGTTACTAGCGTGACTAAGCATTTGTCGTGGACCAAACACTATGCTAGGCCCCGACCCTAACCTGAAGAACAGAGCACTTCCTTGCCTTTAATAGGTAAAAAAGACCCAGGAGAGAAATTTGAACCTACGTTCCCGGCTCTGAAGTCAAGGGTGAAAGGATGGTCTGGCCAGTGCAGATCACCCAAGCTGCCAGAGGAGCAGCTGGAAGCACATGCCCAGCAGAGGCAAGCATTGTGGTCATCAGCTGCCAAGGGCAGCACACTGGGCAAGGGCTTTGAAGAGCTAGGAGCTGGGCGGAGGCCCACTCACCGACACCTTCTCTCCTGGCTTAGGCCAGCCTCAGATCTGAACTGACTCACTGGGCCAAGACAGACCAAACTTTAGGAAGGAAGCCATTTTCTTCTAAAGACATTCCCCTTTGTTTCACTAGACTTCTCTACAACCCAAATTCCAAGTGCGATCTTAGAGCAAGTCACCTTGGAGTAAAGTCTTTGCAATGCCAGCAGGAATCATGTATGGTTGGTGTTTTCTGGGCCTTGGCTATTTCATCTAGAAAATTGAATTGGCTAGCCTGGATGTCTTTGAAGAGTCTTCTAGACCTAAGATTCTGTAATCCTATGTAGGCTTGCCATATTTAACAAATAAGAACATTTAGGTGTCGACTAGAATTGAGTCATGAGTGAACGATGAATGTAATTGTATATATGCGTGTCTCCTGCCCTGCCTTTTGAAGGCAGTCCTAATTCCTGACAGATCTGCTTCTCCAGGATGAAAGCAAGTATTCTAGCCCTGGGGAAGTGTCAGTTCTTAGGGAAAAGGTTGCAAAGTTGTTCTCATTGTTCAGCTCGTTTGTATCAGGACACATGGGCTCTCCTCATTGACCTGACCTCCTTACCGTGAGTAGACCCATCGGCTGTCACAGGTAGGAGCGGAAGGGGGAAATCCTCCACCTCGACAGGATGGCTTGCAAAAATGTAACCAGTAGTAAATGTGGGCCCAAGCATCCCAGACATCCCTCCTGACACTGGCCAGATAGCTAACTAGCACCACAGAGACGCAAAGCTAAAGGAGACAGAAGGAGAAAACGGGCGGGAGTCTAAATCTCTCTGTTAAATAATCAGGAACATATGATTTTAGAATACAGCTGGATGTCCAACTGGGGAGAAAAAGAAATGAAGCTCCCAGGAGAGATTAAGGTCTGGATAGAAGAAATGGTTGCATGGGAAGGCTGAGCCCAAAGTCATGGAACACACACACACACACACACACACACACACACACACACACACACACGCACGCCCCTGTGAAACATCCCCGAGGTTTGGATCTTTTTCTCTTCCATATTGGTTTTTATTCTCTGGCAGGCAATATGATTAGTTATTCTCACCCAAGCTTGATGAATAGGCCTGGCAAAGAGGAGAGGATTGGTTCAAGAGGAGGTATCAAGACAAGACAGGATAAGCAGGCTCTGCTCGGCAACATCATGTACTGACACTGGCCGTTTCTTGCTCATCAGGAATTCTGATTGGCTGTTCTGTTTCTTTTTCATTAGTTGACACAGGAAATGGGCAATTTACCATTTCATAAAGTCAGTGCTGTGACACAGTTACCTTTAAAATATTCAGGATACACAAGGGGGAGTGAGGGAAAATTGGGGGATTACTGTTTTAGCAAACATTTATTGAAGTTCTACCATGAATTTGACCCTGCACCACATGAACTCATCCCCACTCTGAAAGGCAGGGGTCATCCTTTCTGATAGGAAGAGAAAACTGTATGGGAGGCTCAGGGAAGTTAATAGTTTGGCTGAGCTCGTTCCTAATTTGCAAGAGGTTGGTCCTGATTTGCAAGTGATCAGTCGGGAATAGCAGCCACTATCACTCTATGGCAAGCTCAACACTGATTTTTAAAATTTTCTTTTCAAGGCAAAGAAGCTAACTTGCTAATGCAAAATCTGAACAAGCTGCCAACCGCCGAAGAAAAGCTTGATTTTTTATTCAAGAAGTATGCTGAGTTGGTAAGATCTTTGATCAGTTCTTTCTGTCAGGAACTCCCAGCTCTAGTCAACGCTAAGAGGAGATGGCAGCTTCTCGTGGACATCATTATAGAACACAGCTAGTTATCATAAACAAGCAAAATGAGATTCACAGAATTCTAGAAGGAAAATATTTCTGAGGAAAAAGAAAAGCTGAGATGTAACTACCAAGGAAAAAATGGTCATGGTCTCTGTGTTCAATTATGTGCATAATTTTGGGCAAGCAAGAAAGAGGAGCACAGACAATTTAAATCTATGGATATTTTAAAGTTCTTGTCAACTTTAAAGTAAAAAAAAAAACCTGTCTCTATAAAGATGAATGAATATTAAATTTTCATTCAGCTTCTACACTCACGGTTCTCAAGGGCTACCAGGAAACTTCAGAGTGGAGTCAATGCCATCCCACAGTTCATGGCACTTCCTTGTCTGGCCTGCAGTTTTTCAGTTCTCTTCTTTGGTCCCCATTCTTCCCCTTCCCTACAATGACAAAGTCATCTCTGGGGTTGCTTAGTGTCCAGCTCTGGGTCCTCCACAGACAGCCTCACCCTCCACACGTAGGGTCCTGGGAGCAAGGGAAGCCACTTCAAACCGCCCAAGAATTCCATTAGGCCATTGTCTCCTCTTCTGTGCTGTGATTGGCCAGTGGAGAAAAGGAAAAGGCTGGGTGAGGACAGTGCTCTGGTATCCATGAGGCCTCACCTGCTTCGCTAAGAAGAGCAGGAAAAGGCAATGGGAACAGAAACATCTGAGTTCTGTGTACCACTCTTTCCTTTACCCCCAGAAATGAGATAGCAAGCTGCTTTTTAACTGTGTGTGTGTGTGTGTGTGTGTGTGTGTGTGTGTGTACTCTTTAAGAAAGTCACTGACTTGTCTCCTCTGGAGAAGTAGCAACAGGTAAATGAGGCTCTACACAGCACAGAACTTCTTCCCGGCAGGAGTTGAACCACCTCCCCTCCCTGAGAAGATGTATTTTACAGTGAAGGATGCTCCACTTGGGGACTTACGCTACTAGCGTGCTCACCCCGCCCTAGGAGGCCTTGGGCCTAATTTCACTGTCTAAATTATGTTTTTAGGAGAGCTTCCCAAACTGAGTAGGCATCAGGCCCACAAATTCCATGCCTGTTGATGGTTTGTTTTCCAGTGACTCTAGTCCTGTAATCCCTATGTGTCCTTTCCTTCCTTCTGTCTTGACACACCCTGGTATGCTGAATTGTGATGTCATCAACACAATACAATTCTAAAACCCTGAGTGCTCAGCTGATTGCTTAGCTTTTAGTTATTTTTAATCATACAAACCACATCGTGATGATGTGAGAGTTTCAAAGGCACAAAGACGTTATCTCCAATCCATCATCTAAAACACAAGTTCTGGTTTGTGCCTGCTCCTCTCCAGCTCTATGCAGCCAGAGATGGAGTCGCTCCTGCCATACGGCACAGACAAGTTGATATTTTGAGGTTTTTGGTTTTTTTTTTTTCTGTTGTTGTTGTTTTGTTTTTGTTTTTTTGTTCATGTGGCATCTTTCCGCCTGTGTAGTTCAGTCTGCATAAGCACATTTTGTTGAAAAGGTATCATATTCCATTAAGCGACTCTATGTGCTGAGTCACTCATTTGGGAGCCAGCGTCCTCCCACTTCAGAGAACACTGCTGCAGTGAATGCCATCATTTACAGATTTGCTCCTTCTCCAGTATGAGTTTAGGAAAAAATTCTAGGAATAGGATTACTGGATCAAATAGGATGAAGGTTTCTTTGTTTCTCAGTTTTATGGCCATGTTGCCTGCCAAAGGAAGGGTAGAAAATTACAAAACGATTTAACATTGGCTATTAGCAATTTAAATTAGCGTAACATAAGTTGGAAGTCAAAGATCTTTTTCCCCAAATCTGGGCCGCATTCTCTCATGTACACCACATGACTCTCACTTACTCATATTTTTTTCCCAGTATTTTCTGTACTGTCTGTCCATCATCTCTTCCACTAAACTACTACACACCAAGGCCATTACTGTTCATTTCCTAGCACCATACTTGGCATGACTAGGAAGTATCTTTGACTGGCACCTGACACTCTCTCACAGTGCTACATGGCCACAGCAGGACTCTGGAGAACTCCAGTCTGAGGGAGATTTCTCCAAGAGCCAGGGCTCTTCATGCTGGTCCCAGGAAATTCCCTACTCACCGTTATAGCCAGACAATCACCCCAACAGAGATAAGCCAGTTCAAGCCTTATAGCATTTGTCTTATCCCCTATAACAAACTTTAAGACCTAAAAGATTATTCTCGAAAACTGACCCAAAAGACCAACTACATTTCCTTTCCAGGGAAGAAAAATTTTAATTATTTACTTGGAGATAAAAGTGTATTTCCTCCCTCATTGATTAGGATATTAGTATAGAAAATGTCTGAAATACAATGGTTAATATGGAGTAAATTGTCAATTCCAATTCTTTAATTCAAACTGCCACTCTAGCTCACTCATGCTCACAGAGCCTGAAGTCTGTAATACTATCCGCCATTGTGTTCATCAATAAATAAGGACATGTTCATTAATAAGTAAGGATACTTCATGACTACATTAAGAAATGGCCGTAGGAAAATATTTTCTGGAAATTTTCTTAACTTCTATATACTTAAGACGAATCATTAATACAATTCTAATTTAGCCATTGGCAATAATGGTGCTTTTATTTAATTTTTAACTTAGCAAAGAAGAAAGAACAAGAAATTTCAGATAAAATCCTATATACCTGTTACAAATTTCCAGAACTGTGCCTCTATGAATTGTTGAACCTCACAGCCAGCTCTGGGTTGAGGTTGACTTGGTTGTAATATGCTCACTTTCATTCATTAAAAAAAAAAAAAAAACCTTGCATTCATACATAAGCACAGAAGTCTGAACCATTCGAAGACAAAATCATCCAGACACTAAAAAAATGCAAGAAGCTCAGAGTCTTTCATTTTAAAGCTAAGGAAAATAGATCTGGCTAAAATTTTAATGTGCACAATCTTATAACACAGCCAAAGATTAAATATGGTAAAACATAAATCATTTGTCTTCCAACCTATAAAGCACATAAAGTATATATTTGCTTCAGGACACACAAATAAAGCTGTAGTCTTGTCCACCAAGGAGCACTAGGTGTCTCTGCCTGGAGATATTTCTGCTTGTCACAGTCAGGTATGTTACTGCCACACAGTAGAGAGAGGGGCCCAGGTTGGTGGGCCCATAATATGGAGGATTTTGCACAATACAAAAATATGTTCCATTTTGTCAATGGTGATGAACCTGAAAAGTTTTGGTATATGACTTATTCTTCAAAAGTAAAGTCTAGTCTATAATGGCAACAACAGTACATCAATTTCAAGGAAGAAAACTCTTGCTACAATCATGGGACATTTTACCTTGTCTAATCACTATGGTACAAAATGAAAAAGTTCAGCATAAGAAATGCATAATGCAGGCTCACTGGCTTTTCAAGAAGGATTTTAATGCCAATCATTATTTCTAGTAACATGGTTTGCTTTTTCCAAGGTTAATTTCTAAAAAGTAGAAATTGCACATGGGTATAAACTTAGAATATCAAACGTGCACATTCTTGGCTCAATCTGAAGAGGGTTTTTAATAGTTATGGTAAAAGAAAAGGAATAAAACAAGATAGGAATTGAAGAAAGTGTGACAATCTTCAAATAGTTCAGGGGACAAACAAAAAGACTTACAAAGCAGGGAAACTGAGATGTGGTCAAGATCCTCGTGGAATGTATATCCATTTCTGTCAGGCTCTGTGGGGCACCAGGAACACCTGGCATCTAGAAGCACCCACTGGCTCCCCAGAGATTTTTTTGTTCTTAGCCGATATGGCTATTAATAGAACCAGCTCCTTCCTGCTTTAAGCAACACCCAGGCACTAAAGAAACCAAGTTCAGTAGAGTGAATGATTCCAGACCAAAGTCTGCTGCTTGCCTGTGGCCACACTGATGTTTCAACTGACATTGGTCTACTGGTCTCTGTCTGGTGGCTTCTGGAGGTTGTTTCCCATGCTTCTTCCATTAGAACTAAGATCTTAGGATAATGTTACCAGATTTAGCAAATAAAGACAAAAGATCCAATTAACTTTACATTTTAAATAGTGAACAATTTTTGGTAAAAATATGGCCCATTCAATATTTGGAATATATACTGATACTAAAATTATTCCTTAACATATGAAATTTCTATTTACTCAAGTATCTGGTATCATATCTGGCAATCCTATGCTCATATTTTAGCATCCCAACATGGACAGTATGGGAATAAAGTACATCTGGATCGCCAGAAACAAGGGTCGTGATGTCTTTACTGTAGCCACAGAGAGGTTGGTGACAGAGCTGGGCAGCAGGGAATGTTATAAATATTTTTCTTTTGTGCCACTCTGTTGTGTTGTGGCTATTTCTAATGCTTTGGTAAAAAACCATCACCATCAAGGCCTCTGTGTTTGGGTATTATGCTTTCTCATACCCAGAGGGTCCACATCTAAAGCCCCAAATTATAAATAAGACAGCTCCATCTTCTGTTTACCAGGGGGCCGTTTTTCTCTTTCCTATTTTTAAAAGTGTCACCGTTAGCTTATTTTCAGACAGAGTTATGAGAATGAAAATGTGAGCCAAGCAAACAAATTGTTGGCCATGGTCTGCAGGTCTGCATACAAGATGCTGCCATAAACTCCAGCGGTTCCCAGATTCTCAAGCCTATCTTTCTTTTTTGGATAGCACTAGATGACATCATTAGACAGGAACAAAGAAAACATTGCATGACAAAAAAAAGTCAAAGAAGAGGCTAATAAAAGTAATAGTTATGTGAAAATCATATATACATACATATATATATGTCATACTCTACAAACTATATCTATACATGATCCAGGAGTGGCAGATAATGATGGAAAGAGTTCCAAACAACCATACAGAAAGTATTTTGGCTTAGCTTCTTTTTTTTGTGAGCCTCAGAGACATTCCTGTGATTTCTTCGCTGCTTACACCCCCACGTCTAGCTGGATGAGCATCGCGCGGAGCAAAAGAAACTAAGACTCCTGCGGAAGCAGCAGGCACAGACCCAGAGGGAGAGGGACCAGCTGCAGAGTGAACACAACCGAGCCATCCTGGCTCGGAGCAAACTCGAGAGTCTGTGCCGGGAGCTCCAGAGGCACAACAAGACACTGAAGGTAGGTGGCACCCTGGCTTGGAATGACACGTTTCTCAGCGGGCTGCACAGACACAGGCCTCTGCTACCTGGAGAAAGCATAGGTTACCACCAGAGAGCAGCGAAATCAGATACCAGTGATACCACTTGCTCATTTGTGATCTTCAAGTTTTTAATCTCCATGAGTCGTTCCCCAACCATCTGATTGTACGTTCGGAAGGGAAAAACTAAATGAGATTTCATGTGCAAGGTAACTACACAAGACAGCAGTGTAGGCCCAGAGTAAAATAAATGTCATGCCTCTTCCTTGCTGGCTGGGTTGAGGTTTTTTTTTGTTTGTTTTGATTGATTGGTTGTTTAGATAGTCCTTCATTTTCTATTTAATTCCTTTTATTTTTACTTTATGTGTTTGGGTATTTCTCCAGCATGTATGTATGTCTGTGTATCACATGTGTTCCTGGTGCCTGAGGAAGCCAGAAGGCAGCACAGGAATTAGCATTACAGACAGTTGTGCTCTGCCGTGTGGGTGCTGGGAATTGAACCCAGGTCCTCTGGGAGAGCACCAGTGCTCAACCTCTGAACCATCTCTCCATCTCTTAGTTTCCTCTTTAAAAATTTGTAAAAAGTCAATGTTTTATATTTTTATTCAATGAATTCTACATGACAGGGCATAGATACAAAGCTAATTGACATGCTAACGTGAGGAGGAGAGCCAAAATGTCAATAATTGTCTAAGAAGCTACTTTAGAAAAACACTGAAGAGCTCTTTAAGACTTAATTACTCATTTTAAAAATAATGGACTGATCACTTCATTATGTCTGCATGGGTTTCATTAGTTACAGCATGGGTCCCTAGCAGTTTATTTAATTTGATTACCAGCTCCATTCAAAAGTAAGATGTAGGGTTCTTTCAAATAAGTCCATTTGCATCTACAGTCCCCTTTCCAGTGGTAGATTCCAAAGCTGGAGACACACAGTAGTTAATCAGACAATATTCCTGCAAGGAAGTTATTACTATATGTGTTTACAAGGAGATACTTTAAAAAAAAACAAACATTAAAATCATTAACTACTTTGGCGAGCAGGAAAAGATAGTGTGGTTCCTCATTGCTCAATTATCCTGTCATGTTTGGGAAATGCGATGCCAGTTCGATGAACTGTGAATCTCACACTGCAAGTCCCAGAGGACGGGCATCTGGACTTTCTTCAACGATTGTACTAGGAATAACCAGAAGTCTAGGTTAGATGGGGACCTGGAGACGGGAGCATCATCTTCAACTCATGGGGTAGTGTTTTGTGTTTACAAAAGACTCCAGTCTTTCTACAAAGTCACACAGGGAAGAAACGGAAATTAAACCAGATGGAGTGGGGAATGTGTCATTGAAAAGATGTCAGGGGAGAAGAGTGTGGCTTCGACCCTTTAGGACTCTGTGTGTTATGTCATTTGATCTGCACAATGGCCTTCTGAGAGTTCGGATCTCTACTGACAAGGAAACTCAGTGATTCTAATTAGTCATTTAAAGCCACGAATATTTGAGGTGTCAAAGTAAGAATTCAAATTCAAAATACTAACCTATCTTTGATTATTTACCCATGGGCTGGGGCATATTGAATTTGTAGAGCCTATCATGTATATTCCGTCTTGATGAAAAACCAGTGCATGCAGTATTCCATAAGCAACAACTAGCTTCGGAACTGTCAGTATAATCCCAGTATTAATTGTGGAATGGTTTACTTCTTTCAAATACATCAGTTTTTGTTTCTTGAAGCCCTGATGTTAGTTTTAGTCACGCTCACCTTCTGTCTTTTTGAATAACTGGTCATTTTATCATCATGAGCGTCCCCTGGTAATAATCTTTATCTTGATATTTACTTTATTTGACATCGATACAGCGCCTGAAGTTTTCTTCCTTTTTTGTTTGCTTGTTTGCACAGTATATCTCTTTTTATCTACTCATTTCCCATGTGGGTCTACAAATACAGCTCATAAAGACAGGATAAAGCTGTCTATTGATTCTTTTCATAGGCACAGTATCTGCCTCTAACTGGGGTGCCAGTCCATTAACACATAAAAATAATGACTGATACGAGTGTATTAAGCAGTGGGTACCATGTTTGCTTGTTTACGTTTCACCTCTCTCTCTCTCTCTCTCTCTCTCTCTCTCTCTCTCTCTCTCTCTCTCTGTCTTCTGCTCCTCTACTTTTTCATACCTTCCAATGTGAAGATTCTTTAAATTACATTTTTAATTTATCTCCCAGATTTTAAAATTATACCTCTCTGCATTATTTACAGTGGTTAATCTATGGCTATAATCAACATTTTTAGTTAAATGCCTAGTCTATATAGAGTTAATATTATACAGCATCATATATGTAAAAACACTAAAGCTAAGTAAGTCCCATGATTTCTATCTTTAAGCTAGAATTTTCTAAGCATACAATTATATGAACTTACAAAGCCCATGAGATGACAATTCACATTCAAAAAATGGGTTTTTTTGTCTTTATTATCATCTATATTCCTTGAAAAATGAAAAGGAAAACTGCCTTTTATCTTTTCCCAGATACTGGACTTTCCTGATCTCTTTTTTATTTGGCCTAAAACTTAAGCGTCCTGTCTGGCACCATTTCCTCTCAGCCTAAAGAGCTCCCCGTTAGGGTCTGTTGGAGTCCAGCTCGGTTGGCAATCCATTCTCTTAGTCAGCCTTTATCTTTAAGATGCCTTTTAGCTATTCATTATTCCCGTCTTCCAATTGAGAACTGTAATTACTGGATATTGAAGTTGTCCGCTGATGGGATCTGTTTATGGATCTTCCTTTTTATCCTGACCTCCATAATTCTGATGACAGCAGTAACCTGAGCTGCTTCTCCTCATATGACACGTCATTTTTCTGTGGCTATTCTCGAAGACTTTCTAGTGACTTTTTACTTTTAGAATCTTTATATCTACTGATGGCTTTCTTTATTTTTAACTTTAAAAAATGCTATGAGTGTTTCCCCTCATGTATGTAAGAATGTGGTACCTACAGAGGTCAGTAAAGGGTGTTGGATCCCTTGAAGCTGGGATTACAGATGGTTGTGAACTGCCCTGTGGGTATTGGGAACTAAACCCAAGATCTACCTCTATAAGAGCAGACAGTGCTCTTAAACCACTGAGCTATCTCTCCAATCCCTAAAGGTTTTCTTTACATATATTTCATCTGGTTTTTGCTCAGCTTTATGTATCTGTATGCTTTTTTTTTGTTTTTTACCAAACTTGGAATTTTTTCAAGTGTTATTTCTTCAAATATATTTGTTAATTCATGCTCTCCTCCTTCCCCTCCCCCGAGAGTCCAATTGCATGCATGTTAACCTTGTGACTGTCTCCCAGCTCCCTTCATGCCTTCCTCAATCCTCTGATCAGACCACTTCACAGTCCTTTCTTTGTTATCTCTGTTATGCTCTGGGTCCACAGAGTGATTTTTAAATGTCTAATTACAGAGTTTTAAATTCCAGGACTCCTGTTTATTTAATAGATTGTTTTTCTTGTCTGAGACTTCCTGTTTCTAACTCATTGCGATAATATTTTCCTTTACATCACTGAACAGAATTTATAACACCCATTTTTTAATTCTTTCCTGTTATTTTCCCATCTGGGCCATTGTAGAACAAGCTGTTTATTTGCCTACTGTCTTTCTTTTGATACTGTGCCAATTTTAGGGTTTTCATATGACAGGTCATTGCCAACAATATCCTAGATGATATGACAATGTGGAGACTCTAGATTCCATTATTATGTTATTTGACCTTCCAATGCTATTAAAACACCTCACAGAAATCAATTTACAAGAGGAGAAGGTTAACTTGGCTTACAGGTTCAGAGACTTCAGTCCATGGTCACTTGATGCTTGTTTCTGGGCCATGATGAAGAACATTACCGTCAGGAGCACCTGATGAGAAAGTTGTTCACCTTAAGGTGGCAAGGAAGCAGAAAGACCCAGAAAAGGGCTCTAGAGACAAGACAGAGCCATCAAAAGCACGCACCAGGAGCCTACTTCCTCCAACTAAGCCCCACTTCTGAACAACTGATTCAGCTACGAAGGCATCCGTGGACTAATCCACTGATGAAATTAGCACCATCATGGTAGAATCACTTCTCAAAACCCAGTCGTCTGAGGGACACATCTTCAAGACACAAGCTTTTGGAGTGTACAGTACCTATCTAAACCCTAACTATACTCTTCTGAAAAATATTGACGATTTGCAATTCAGTTAGTATGGTTAGCTTTAACTACAAATTTTTGTCTCTTGGAACCAAATGCCCGTTCAATTTTTTCCTTAGCTGGACTGCTTCATGTCCATTCTGCAGAAGTATAGACCAATGTTGTTCAGAGACTGGAGAATTTTCTCCACAGAACTCAGGTTTTCCTCCCTCTCTGACTCTTTTCTTGGAACTTCCCTCTCATCATCTTTCAGTGGTTATACAGTTTCCCAGAATTTCACACTCTTGTTCTTATCTGCAAGATGGTAGATGTCCTAGGGAAGTTTAACACATCTCATTCTGTTTCCAAGTCTTCCTACAAACTAAAATCTGTTTAAAAGGGGAGAGAGTGAGAAACTTACATTACATCAAGTGCCAATTGGCCTCCAGAGTCCACAGATGTTATTTGCAGAAGACTAAACTTGGCCTGGCCTTCTTTGTCCAAGCTAGTAGGGCAGCCTCACTACCTGGCTCTAAAGCCCATGCTTTAGGGGGCTTGGGAAGGCATGGATAAAAGAAATGTGTAGTCAGGGCTCTCCACCGCCATGCATTTTAATTTATATTCCTCCTAAAGTTTGTTTTTCCTCGGTGAGTGAAACACAAACACAAGCCTTAACAATTTAGGATAATTTAGAAAAAGGCCAGTGAAGGTCTGGGCCAGGTACCTGTTTTGCAACCCTTGTAAGTACTTAAAGGAGCAAATTCGAGCCTGAAACTATACTGAAAGAGAACTTTCTAGTACAATGTGCGTAGGTGGCTTAGGGTACACGATTTTGGTAAAGAAATAAGTGGTATTTGCTAACAGAACATCAAAGAATTTTAATGTGGAAAGGACTATAGAAATCATCCCGCCCAAGCTACTCATGTGTCTGGACACAGGTTAATAATGTATTAATCATTAAATAAACATTTACTGAACACCTATGGATTATATGCCAGGCACAGCATCAGTTTTAAGACACACAACATTGCTTGCAAAGCTGTTTTCAGCCTTTTGTCTCTCAGTCTCGTTTGTCTTAGTAATTTCCACTTTGCGCACGTACTTGATTAATTTGAAAAATTATCTCAGACATTGTCCAAGTCGCAGCATATTATTTATCAATGGACTCAGTTTCATGACATTTAGCGACACTATTTTTTGCCTAGTTGAAATAACAACATAGCTAGGATTGTTGTTATTTGGGAGGATGGGGCAGGAGGGTCACAAGTTCAAAGACAGTCTGGACTACCTTACAAGACCTTGTACTCTTCCTCCTCTTCAAGGGGAGAGGGGGAGGTCATGTAGTACAAACTTCAAGCTGCCATTTCATAAGCCAGAACTGAGTGGCTTGACACATGTTACTAAGATCTGGAAAAATCTCAAACTTTCTCAAGAGCGTGACATGGTTTTTTTCCTATTCACACATGGAATCTTCATAATGAACATGAAATTAAGATCGTGGTCTGTAGTTCAATAATTCATGATTTGGGGACTTGTAAGTATATCAGGAGCAAGGAGGTGACAATCACTCTGACAGGTGTGTTCAGTTACTCTTTAACTGATAGCTGCAATCATTTTTAGTGATATATGTACTAAGAATTGGTATACAAAGATAAATAGTATCTTAAATAGTCTTTAGGAAGTATCTTTCATCTCTGAGAAGCCACAGTATGACGAAATTACAATTCTAGTGGCCAACAAGTTAGGCAATGTGTTGATATTATGTAGGAAACATGGAAATGAGCGATAAATTAAAATACTTCCAGAGCATATATTTTTCCAGATCAGTTTTTGTTTTGATCATATTGTTCTATCCTAATAAAGACTTGTGCAATTACTTCTGCTAAAATAATTCTCTCTTTTTAAATCCTGTTACATAATCTGAAGTTGGTAGGCAACTAAATGCAGGGTAATTTTACTTGCCAACAATGAAGCAAGCTTTCCTATTAACAATTAACCAGGGCTGAAAGGAATCCGAAAATGTGTGTATCATCTCTCAACAGTGTAAACATGTCTATCTTTGGGATAATATAGCAAGAGCAAACCCTTTATTCTAAAAGAGTAAAAGGAACATTAATTACAACACAGCTAACTCTTGATGTAGACAGAGGAATCTGGGCACATGATTAGTGGTTAGCAATGAATGTGGAGTTTTGATGTAAGAGAAAAGAGAACAGAAATAATATAAAAGCAAACTGCCAATTCCTTGATGGTAACAAGTGGTAAGGTGGGTGGTAACATGTTTCATTGTTACCATTTTAGAGTTAAGGCGATTTCAAACTTACTGCCTTCTAATTCAAAATTTATACTGCAAGTATTTTAATTATCCCAGGGGACACATAAAATAATTGTTCTGTCCAGAAACAAAACATCCAGCGTATTTGGGAAGATTCCCTTTATATTTTTGAATGCTGTATTAAAGTTTCCTGATAATATATTTTTCTTACTATGGGCACTTGCTTGGGGCCCAAGTTCAGTTCCCAGCATCCATGTGAGGCATCTGACAGTCACCTATAACTCCAGTTTCAGGGGATCTGACGCCTTCTTCTGGCCTCTCTGGGTACTTACACATATGTGACTACAGAGAGAGAGAGAGAGAGAGAGAGAGAGAGAGAGAGAGAGAGACTAAAACCTAAAAGAAAGAAAAGCAATTTGTATTATGCTCACTTATTCTATAAAAATCTGGGTGATACAACTATGTGGTTTGTATTCCATGGTTTCATAGAGTAATATTACATCTATTGCTTTCCACCCCATAGTGCTCACACACACACACACACACACACACCAGACAAACAACTCATGATCTGTGTCCCATCACTAGGTAAATCCTTTTTTCCAGGCCACATCTAAGAGATCAAAGTTGTGTGACTATGTGACTGTCTGTCAGAAGTCACTGCTGGCCATTCACTCAGCAGGCCACTGCCATTTTAAAGGAAGCCTGCTCACTGAGCACAGCCACTGCCTGGGACGGCACTCACAGCCGAAACCTGTTCATTCATTTATTTGGGGATTGGGCAACTTTAGCTGTAGAGAGCTGAAAAGAAACATCCCACTTACTCTGCACACTGCTCCTTTCGCCGACCTTACCCCGAGTTCTCTAAACCATGGCACTTCTAAACCAGCACAAAATGTTCTGCTCTTCATCCACAGGAGGAAACCCTCCAGCGGGCACGAGAGGAGGAAGAGAAGAGGAAAGAGATCACGAGTCATTTTCAGACTACCCTGACAGATATCCAGACTCAGATAGAGCAACAGAGTGAGCGGAATATGAAGCTCTGCCAGGAGAACACAGAGCTCGCCGAAAAACTGAAAAGCATCATCGACCAGTACGAGCTCAGAGAAGAGGTGAGAACCACATCAAACAGCTCGCAGAACTGTACACAGGCCCAGATCTGAGCTGTAGATGTGAAGAACTTGGTTAAGAAACAATTCATGGAAGGGCGGTGGTGGCGCACACCTTTAATCCCAGCCCTCAGGAGGCAGAGCCAGGTGGATCTCTGTGAGTTCGAGACCAGACCAGCGTGGGCTGTGGAGTGGCAAAGCTACACAGAGAAACCCTGTCTCAAAAAAACAAAACAAACAAACAAAAGAAACAATTCATGGCCAGCCCTCTCAAACCGATTAATAGTTAAGACTGGGTTTCTTTTACTAACCAAAATAAAAACAGAGACTCCTACAAAACACCTGGCTGAACTCATTTCAAAATAAAAGCAGTAAACCTAAAGTGGTAGGCTGTGGGCACAGTTCTCCCGCACAACACTTTGGTCCTTTAAAAATCCTTTCCATGAAGACAAAAGATAATTCTGCTCTCTTCATTAGGATCCCCATGTCATCTCAGTTAACAAGCTGATACTAGTATTAATAATGTAATAATTATAATATCATTTATTTAGTGCCTAATTTGTGTCAAGCAATGTATTAGGTAGTATACTTTACTATTGATTTTACTATCAAACAGAAAACACTATCTATATAAGTCACTTTATATGTTGTTGTGACCAAATACCTAACAAGCAACAATGTAAGGAAGGAAGGGTAGATTCTGGCTTACCGCTCTGAAGGATTATTTCATCATGGCATGGTAGTGGGAAGGGAAGGCATTGTGACCAGAACAGGTAGCCAGCTGGTTACCACTGGGTCCACAGACAGGAAACAGAGAATAATGGATTCTCATGCTCAGCTCAGTCTCTTATCTTCATTCAGTCCAGGGGCCCAGGCCATGAAATGGCACAATTCACAATTAAGGTGGGTCTTCCCACCTCAATCAACCTATCCAGTCTAGATAATCCCTCACAGGCATGCCCAGAGGTTAACCAAATGTAGACGGTCCCTCACAGGCATGCTCAGAGGTTAACCAAATGTAGACAGTCCCTCACAGGCAAGCCCAGAGGTTAACCAAATGTAGATAGTCCCTCACAGGCAAGTCCAGAAGTTAACCAAATGTAGATGGTCCCTCACAGGCAAGCCCAGAGGTTAACCAAATGTAGACAGTCCCTCACAGGCAAGCCCAGAAGTTAACCAAATATATACAGTCCCCCACAGGCTTGCACAGAAGTTAACCAAATGTAGATGGTCTCCCACAGGCTTGAACAGAAGTTAACCAAATGTACACAGTCCCTCACAGGCATGCCCAGAAGTTAACCAAATGTACACAGTCCCTCATAGGCTTGCACAGAGGCTTTTCTCCCACTGATTCTGGACCCCATCTAACCATCAATATTGGCCACTACAGTACCTTTTCCACATTTTATGTAAGAGTGGCCTGGAGATGGTACTACTTCCGGTCACAAAGATTTTCATTTTGAGTATTTCACATTAATGAGACAGCAAGCATCTGGGTTGGCAATATGTTAAGATTTTATCAAGAAAACAATGGTAAATCAGGAAAGCCCTCACAGCAAGCCATAACGCCTAGCTACCATCTCTTCTCACAAGTTCGAGTCCATCCAGGATACAAGAGTAAAGAAGAAAGGAAGAGCCAAAGGGAAAATGTCTGTTCTCCTCAGAGAAAGCTCAGCCGGGAATGGCCTGGAATACCAGTTGTACATTCCCAGCACTGGTTCTGTGTAAAGCCCAATCCAGTATTTCATAGGTCTCCTTTCTGATGGGGCATCTTATCAGTCAGGACACCCTTGAAACAGAGGTCGACAGGTCCAGATGTGGAGGTCCAGAGAATGACTGCTTATCAGCTCATCAATGAGCCCAGGTCATTTCAGCTCTCTTTTCCTCAGCTTTCCTTTACTCTAAGAAATACTTGAGACACTCAGCTCGTCAAGAAAAGGGTTTGCCCTGGCTCACAGATGTGAAGCAAGTGACCCCATCACTTTGGGGGCCTATGGCAAAGCAGCACATCATCATGGTGAGAGAGGTGTGGTGATGCCAAGCTGCTCACTTCATGGGAGCTGGAAAGGGAGGGTACCAACTGCCAAAGACTAGAGGGTCTCCTGGCAAGCCCCACCTCTAGAATTTTCTACCACCTCCCAATAGTGTCAGGCTGGATACTAAGCATTTCACATTTAGGCCTTTGAGGGGACATTCAGATCCAAACTACATTAGCATCAAACAAAGTCAGCAAAGCATTCAGGGGCCTGGGCCTCGGTCCCACACATCTAGGGACTACATGCTGGTACTCCAAGGCTTTGTTACAACTCTTGAGAAGGTACACAGAGAATTCACCATGACACATTATATTCATTTTTATGGTTAAAAGAGGTTGTATAGTCAGCGGGGGAGTGGCGGTGCATGCCTTTAATCCCAGCACTCGGGAGGCAGAGCCAGGTGGATCTCTGTGAGTTTGAGGCCAGCCTGGTCTATAGAGCGAGATCCAGGACAGGCACCAAGACTACACAGAGAAACCCTGTCTCAACCCCCCCCACCACCAAAAAGAGGTTGTACAGTCATGAAAAGGGCCATAATACCAAGCTGAGTACAGTGGAGCATTGTCTGGGAGGTCTGGCCTAATGAATATCTTCATACCAACTGACTACCAAATTGAGAAAAATCATGTTGGTGCCTTTAGGCATTAGTGCTGGTGACCTCTGGCACCTCCACCTTCTGAAGCTCCCTCTGAATAGTGCAAAGTGTGTGTGTGTGGGGGGGGTGGCTCTCACCAATTTATGGCTTTAATAGAAAGTCTTCAGTGAGGCCAGAGTGTTGGTTCCTTAGAATGCTGAAAACTAGGAAATCCGTATTCATGGGAGTCGTTTTCCATTTCTGCATTTCTAAGCACTGATCCTAAGCCTGGCTCTTCTGCGTCCTCTTCCCTCAGCATCTGGACAAGATATTTAAGCACCGAGAGCTGCAGCAGAAGCTGGTGGACGCGAAACTCGAGCAGGCTCAGGAGCTGATGCAGGAAGCGGAGGAGCGTCACCGGCGGGAAAAGGAATATGTATTTACCCTTTCCATCCGCGTGCAGATGCAATCCACCCCTCTGTCGGGGGGCCCTCTAGGAAAGCTATCTGACCCCGGCAGAAGACCACTCCACTCACATACAAGCCCATGCATCTATGGGGAAGTCAATGCGCTAGCCCAGTAGGAGACACGGGGCCTCGGCCATTGTTCACACAAAATAGTCATTCAACACACTCGACAAGTGTTTCTCAAGTGCCTATTATCTGCTGAGAGCATTTGATGCTAGATTATCGCTGTGCATAAGACAGAGAAGGGCCATCTCCTACCAGGCAGATTAGAGGCTGAGTGGGAAGAGACGAGCCGTAACACGCAAAGCAGGAAGGATATTTAGATGATAGTAAGTTCTGAGGCAAACAAGGAAGAACTGAGATGGGGCTGAAGCGGGAGGGACAGAGTGATCGGGACAGGCAGGGATGACGTAGCAGCCAAGTTCTGCCTTGTGGGGACCTGCCTCATGGGAGTCTTCTCCAGCAGTGGCATCTTGTCAGTGACGAGGCTTGATGTTAGACGCACCACGGCGTGCTCCACACTCAGGGGAAGGTCAGAGAAGGTGGAGCAAGTGGAGAAATGTTCAAGGTGTGGGGGTAACTGGGGTCCAACTGTGCAGCTTCGTAGGGCTAAGAGAGGCGGTTGGGTTTTATTCCAAATATAATGGGAAATGACTGAGGAGTTTTAGGAAAGGAGCTGACCCAATTGGCTCCCCATATGTACAGGTTAATGTGGCCCCTGAGTGGAAAGTGGACTAGAAAAAAAAAAAAAAAAAGGCAGGGGTTCCCAGCACAATCCATGGGCGATGTGATGATGACGTGGATTAGGAGGGTGGCAGCTGAAAAGAAGAGGTGGAGACAGGGAACAGTTACTTCAAAGTAAAAGCAGCCATCAGTCCAAAGAGGATGACAGTGTGGAGGGGGGTGTGTGCTACCAAGGCTGACTGCTGAGTCTGGGATTTAAGAAACTGAATGGTGGTATTTATTGCTCTCCAAGGAACCACCAAAAGTTACAGGGCCATTGCGCAGATGTCAAAACTGAGGCTCAAAGAGGACACACAGCTTAAGGTTTCACACTGCTAAGGGAAGCGATATGTTTCAGAACCACACGCATCTGTCCCCAGCCTTAAGCGCTCTGTGACACTGCATCACATTCAGAGGTGTGTTTCAGCTGCGTGGAAACGTGCCCCAGTTGCTGGAGGAAGAGAGGAAGTGTGTGTGTGTGTGTGTGTGTGTGTGTGTGTGAAGGCTGAGAGGGCTGTGAGACAGTTAGCTGTAAGGCCAGTTACTCAAATGATGCCACTTACCCTCTGACCAGAAGCTTTCTGTTCAGCTGAAACCAGGCAAGAGTCACTTAATTTGTTAGCATAGCAACGGCTAAGTAACCAGTTTTCAAATATGACAGAAAAAAGTAAATGTGGACGACAAACCCTCATTCCTAGTTCTCAAAGCCCACCTACCCTCACTCATCCCCACCCACCCCACTCCCAGTTCTCACTTCTGGTGAGCTATCAAGTCCAAACTGGAGGTTTCTCCAGGCAAACAGAATAATTTGGATATATCCAACAGGCTGCCACTGCTGACTCCTAAAGCGTGGCCCAGCACTCCTCTACCACATCCTCAGATGGCCAGAGGGGCCTACAGGTCTGGTACTCCACAGTGTCCTGGGCCTCTCTGAAGACCAACAGTGTATACTTTCCTACTATCTCTAGGCCACTGCACAACTATCTGGAAGTCAACAACTAGAATTCTCATGGTACATTGTAGACATGACTTTTATTTAAAAAACAAAAACAAAAAACCCTTCTGAGCTCTGACCAGAAGATCCAAACCTAAGACTATAGATGTACATCAAAACGGATTGACAAATAAATGTGTATCTTAAGTTAAAACACGTTTACCCATCTGCTCCCAGCTCAACCCTGTCTAAAGGCCATGGTTACATAAGAAAGGCTTCCTTGTGGGAGAAGAAGGACGAGGACTCTTAGGACCAGAGGGAAAGTTCAGAGCAACCCGTCAAACTTCTCTGTTTCTCAAATGTGCTGCCTGGGTCACTGATAGCCATAGCATCTTGGGTGTTGGAAAAGCACAGATTTCAACCATGCCCTCTACATCCTAGATTATATTCTCCAAAGGGGAATGTACCCATTAGTGATTCCCTAAGGAGAGTCAGACACATTTGAACTGCTGTGTCAAGAACCAGGGATAAAAAAAAGGGAATGTGTATTTCTTAAGGCATCTTGTGTGCTGTGTTGGAGACTATATGCTAATATAATGGATCAGTCACACACACCCAGGCCCAGGAGGGAGAGTCTAGAGATGTTCAAGCTCAGGTTGATGATGGTGGTGGGAGAGGATTGCTTGGGAAGCTCCTGTAATTGCTAGGGAAGCTTTTCACCAATGGGACTGGTGAGAGGTTAGATTTTGTGTGATTGATACTTGATTTGGATGCTTAATTTTTTTTTTCATTAAAGCCACTAGTTTCTATGGGAATCAAACCCGTTAAATTAATTATTTTATCAACTTTAACTTTGTTAACTTATATTTTGCAAAAGTCTCCCCTCAAAAACATACTTAAGGGAAAGGGGTGTAAGAAGAAGGTTAGTTTTATCTGTATACGGCGAACAAATGTCAATTTTAAACCAGTTAGACTTTCTCCCCATACACTCACTCTCTTTTCTCACAGTTGCTGAACCAGGCAGCAGAATGGAAACTCCAGGCCAAAGTGCTGAAGGAGCAGGAGACAGTGTTGCAGGCTCAGGTGAAGTGGGGGGACCAGCACGTGGGGGGCTGGGGGAGCCTCCTTCTGGTATCCAGGGGCTGGGACCCAAGATTCCCTGCACAAAGCTTTAGAGGTGGCGGGGCATGGGGAGAAGATGAGACATGGCCAACTTCACGTTTATTGTATCTATAGAAAATAGAGTCTATTAGGTCTATGCAAGAGAAAGGATGCGTACCAACGTTTTGTCGCCAAGGGTCTGCAGACAAATGATGCCATTAAGGCGGTCAGTCACAGCAAGCTAATGTCCAGCTTCCCACTTCGCTGTCACATTTCCTTTCTGTCACCTGACCCATTGCCCGGCTAAGGGGAGAAGGAATGTAAAACTGTTCGGAAGCACCATTTATAATGGTCAATCCTGAACAGCCTTCACATGTTGATAGTGTCGCTAATACGAAGAAGACGAGAAAAATGGAGGCCGGGTTTCTGTGCTGTCAGAGACTGACCTTGTCAATAGGGAGTGACTGGGAGTGGTGGGGAAATCGGAATCCTTCCGAGTTGGCTTCAGGTGTCATTGGAATTATTTTTGATCACATTACTAGAGGTCCCATTTCAGGCTCAAAAATATAGCCTCCTGCCACAGCTGGCTCTGTGGAAAAGGCAGGCCTATCTATCTATCTCTCTTCCCCATTGGCATGGGGTTCTGGCCCTCCTGGGAAACATTCCCTGTCATAGGCCACAGAGGGACTCTGGCCTGCTGTTAGAACTGCCCAAGTCCTAGAGGGATGGTGAGTTCACAGAGAAAATGGATGCAAGGTGAGGGCATCAGAAACCTTCTATGTTGGCATTGAGACTGTAAATGTTTATGAACTGACTATAAAATCCTACTAATTATAAAAAATAAAAGGTACATACTTCCTATAGGAATGAACAAATTCAACAACTACCGTTCACTGTAAAATACATCAAGAGTAAACTTCAGATAACAAGTTACAGCAAGCATACATACAGGTGGCATTGTCGCAGACAGTCTTCCTAAGGCATATGTAGGCAATGTGTCCAGAGAATGTGATGGAAAATTGTTTTCCCCCAATAGAATCTATTCTTTGAAAACATTCAAGAAAAGTTTTCAAACTAATTAGATCCTGAGATCACCTTTGAGTGAATTGTAGAACCCATCACATCATGGTGTCAGGAGCATCAAGCCGTGGTGGGTCTCTAACCTGTGGATAGTGGGGGAAAAGGTGTGACTCTACCGTCTAGGGATAGAGAAAACCCAGAGAGTCAAGCCAGAGCCTGTGGTCCATTTCTGCTCACTAACAGCACAGAGCTCGAGAGAAACAATGGACAGTATCTGAAGCAAGTCATTATTCACATTGTCTACGAGAAATCGCTTCACTAAAGGAAGATCATGAACTTGAAAAGAGTAGATCGATATTAGAGTCTAGCCTCGAGAGTGATTTGTTCAGTTGCCATCAGAGTCCAGGATGTGTCTATGTGGCGTGTCTGTATCCGTGTCCGTGTCCGTGTCCGTGTCCGTGTCCGTGTGTGTGTGTGTGTGTGTGTGTTTGTGTGTGTGTGTGTGTGTGTGTGTGTGTGTGTGTGTGTGTGTGTATACATTTGCACATGAATATGTGGAGGCCAAAAGTCAACATCATGTATCTTTAATCACCACCCACCTTAACGTTTTGAGATTCATCTTGAAATGAATCTGGAGCTATGTAGCTTGGTCAGACTAGCTGGCCCGAGAGCCCCACCCATGGCCTCCTGTTTCCAGTCCTTTGGTGCTTAGATCCCACTGCTGTGCCTGGCTTTTTTAAGGTGGGTGTTGGGGATCCAAAGTCAGATCCTCACGCTGGCATAACAAGCACGTTACTGACTGAACCATCTCGATAGAACCAAGGATCTGGGAGCTCCATGGTGTGGGAAAGAAAAGTATAAAGATGTGATACCATTTCTCAACTCTACCCATTCAAACTTGAGAAGTATCTACCAGGCATTTCTAATTCCTCACTCACCCACTGATCCTGAATGAGTCCAGGTACTGAGATCAGAGTACTGGCTCTTTACACGGAGATGCTGTGTGACCCTGTCCAACTTACGCAAGCGAATTCTACTCACATACTCCTCTTGTTTCTAATTGTCCTGAAAGGAGCAGCAACACCAGGAAGTTAAGGCCTTGATGCCCATTTTTAAGACCTGAGCAAGAAAGATGCCAAGGGCAGTTTGCTCATTTTCCTAGACTGAAGTCACTATCAGTCATAAGACAACACTGGTGAGTTAGGAACATGTTTCCCACTTAGGAAAGCGGTGTCAGGCGTTCAGTTATGTAAACTGAGGCAATAGAGCTGCTGTCGTAGATGAGCAGTTAGATACAACTGTCAGGTCATTAACAGAGCATCGTCAGATCAGTAAGGATGAGGACAGTAGCAAACATAGAATGTCAGCAGTATCCGAGAGCTCAGACACAAAATACCACCCAAGGGGAAAGATCAGGAGTAAACTGTTAACAGTATAATCATAGTCTCTAGACTCAGATATCCTCTCCTTATCTTTAGATGAGGGGAGAGCTCTCTGCAACAACTCTGGGACAGAACTTGCCTCCATGTCAAGTCTCACGGTCATATTGAGGCAATTTCTAGGCACAGTGCCTTCCATTTCCTGCTCTTAACTAGAACTCGGTGTTCAGTTAAAGGAATACATGAGGACCAGCTTGATATGGCTCAGTGGGTACAGGCACTTACTGCCAAGCTTGATGATCCCCCGGTCCCATTTGGTAGAAAGAACTGACTCCCAAGCCTGGGAAGTTAGACTCTGTCCTCCACTGATGCACAAGGCATGCATGAACCTCCAAACACAACCGAATATAAAAACAACAACAACAAAAATTTAAAAACAAAAAGTGAACCCCTTGGCCAGTTTTAAGGTGATATATTACAGCAATTTTTGTTACTTTTAACCATGGAGTAGTACACTTCTATTTCTGTCCCTGGCAAGACTTCTGGATAGCCTTTCCACACTTCTCTGAAATCCCAAAGCAAAAGTGGAAATAGCTCCCATCAAATCAAACACACAATGTGTCAACATGCTAATAGAAGGCCAACTCCATAGTATAAATATCCACTAAGGAAATGAGAAGTATGAAAGTTTAGTTAGAATAAGATAACATTGGTGCTGGCTACCCGAGCGATTGATAAGCCACACAAACTGTACTGTCTATGACCAAGCAGTCTAATAGAAAGAAAAGGAGAATGTTAAAACCTGACCACTTGAAGGAGGAGGATACAAGAAGTTGTTTGATGTCTGTGGAGTTGTTGAATGTGTGCATGGTTTCCATTTTGCAACGTGAAAATATTCTGGAGACTGGCTGTTCAGTAATGTGAGCGTAACAAGATTGATCTGTAGACTTCAAACAGGTTAGGGTGGTTAATTATGTGTGTGTGTTAACAAAATTTAATTTTTAAACAAAGCAAAACAAAATGGTCAGTTGAAATAATCTAGTAAAAAAAATAAAGGAGACAATGCAGAAATACCCAGTTCTTGGCACAAATATGACAACCTAAGTTAGCTCCATAGCATCCTCTCACAATATGCCAGGAGAAAAGGCAATTCCTGAGAGTTTTCTTCTGACCTCCAAATGCATGCTGTGTCACATGAGTAAGGCACACACACATGCACACACACACACACACACACACACACACACACACACACACACACGCATGCACGCACACACGTACACATGCATGCACAGGCACACATGTGTAAGCACACACACACACACACACACACACACACACACACACACACACACACCCCCACATACTAAATATCTATTTTAAAGTATTTGTTTTGCTATTGTCACCAAGTGCATCAGTTTGAACGCAATAATAAATAAACTTGGAGTCAATAATAATGCTGCGTTAGTGTCACATGAAAGAAAGAGATCAAAGCACTGCCCCTTGCTATTGTCTAACCAAGAGTGAGTCCAGAGCTGACGTTTTGGTTGTGACCCTAAGTGCTTAACCTCTGAGCCAGCACTCCAGCCCAGTGAGCCCAGGTTTGACACTTCACACTCCCTGTGTCTTCTGTCATCACGGTTTATCTGTTGTATGTGTCTGAATCTGTTGCCTGCCTGAAAACTGTCTTGTGAATCTGTCCCTGTCCCTGTGTCTGTCCCTAATGAAGGGCTTTGCTGTGTAATTATTGAACAGTACAGAAAGTGTCAGTTGGGGAAAGAATGGGAAAGGCCTTTACAGAAAGCATTAACAGAGGCTTAGGGATTAAGTCACTGACCCCAGCTGACCCCAACTGACTCAGATAACAAACAAACAAATACTATCAAGCAATATCCAACGGCCCCTTTCAATATGTACGGGAGATATTCATGTGTAAGATTGATTTTGATCTCTATTTGCTGTTTCCAGCAAATGATCATCACAATACATGTACAAACACATATGTGTTACTCTTGGGTCAGGGGCATGGAAAAGTACATAATTTAAGAATACAGCTATTTATTATCTCAGGTTGTAAAAGTTGATTACATGGGAAATCCAAGGAAAATAAAGTTCTGACTTGGTAATTTGTATCGAACATCTCATAGTCAAGTTGTCATTGAGTTTGTCTTTCCATTAGGAGTACAAGTATTTCAAAAGCATGACCCAAGTGCTAAATAAATATCTTTACATATGTGGTACATATGTATGTTCAGTGACTAACAAATATTTATAAAAATTAAAACGTAATAAATCTGTAATGATAGATCTTATCATTTTATTTTTCTTTAAAAAATTTTAGGCAACATTAAGAGGATTCAATAGATTCTTCAAAAGATAGAGCACAAGAAATTGGAAGGGAAACATTGTGGAGTGGGATAAGGGAGAAACTGGATGGGAGGGGATGTGGTGGGTTTGGGAAGATAGCTGAGTGGGTAGAGGGCTTGCTGTAAAAGAATAAGGACCTGAGTTTGAATCCCGAGCACCCACATAAAAGCCAGGCATGGTGACAAGTGCCTATCTCTTCTATGGATGGGTAGAAGAGACAGGAGACCCCTGGGCCTTCCTGGCCAGTCAGTGCAGCTAAAATGGCGGGCTCTAAACTCACCAAGAGACCTTCTTTCAAACGGTAAGCTGGAGAGCTTTAGAAGACACCTAAAGACAGACACACACAGACACTCACACACAATTTTTAAATGAAAAATTTCAATCATGTTCACCAAGCTAGGTTGACATTGTAGTAAAAACAATAACCAAACATATGACTAACCCTGTATTGAGAATACCTTTAAATCATTTTCTTTTCCTCAAATAATGAACAATGACATCTTGTTTTTCTGGAAGCATTCTGAAAGCAGCCCTAAAATAGATGTACTCTTTGCTCTGTTTATAGCTCACCCTCTACTCAGGAAGGTTTGAGGAGTTCCAGAGCACACTGTCAAAAAGCAATGAAGTGTTTGCCACTTTCAAGCAGGAAATGGATAAAGTGAGTATTGCGTATCCATGAGGATTGACATATTTTTGTTTTGACAGGCAACTCTTTGCATTCATTTTTCTCTGGCTGAGATACTTCAATGAATTTCATAATACATGGAAATTTTTATAGGCAGGAATGAGACTTTCAGTGGGTTGGTTTTTTTGTTGTTGTTTTTTGTCTTTTAAAAATTTTCCAGTAAATTAATCTGATCAACAGCCCCAAAATGCTAGGATACATTTTTACCAGAATGAACAATATTTTTCTTCTTGCTATCTAGCTTTAAAAAGGACAGAAGTTAGCATTAAGTTAAAAAGTCCCACTTTCTAATGTTCAAAACAAACATTTAAATACCTAAAAATACGTTAGAGTTGATAAGACTCCTTCCCATAATTGTAATATAATTGTTGAGCTCTGAATAAGAAAATAAAAGAGTAAGTTCAAATACCGAATTTATAACTATCCTCCAAGTACTGTTGGGCTATTTACTTACCTCTCAACTTCTATTTTTCTTATTGTAAACTGAGATATTATATTATTTGCATAACTCACAAAGCTGTGGAGTTCACATAAAGTAATGTATTAAAAGTTTGTGCAAGTCTTTTCCAAACATAAGGTACAAATGTTACCGATGGACAGAGCATTAACATTCTATTCAGAACAGTATCTTCCCAATGGACAGTCAGCACCAGCCTTCTGTCGTTGAGGGCAGAGGGTGAAAGCACTCGATGTACAAGCCTGGTGACCAGAGTTTAGATTCCTGGATCCATGTTCAAAGCTGAGTGAGGTGGGGTACATCTGTGATCCTAGAATGCCTCTAGCAATATGGAAAGTGAAAACAGGAAAATACTCTGTTAGCTCATGGGCCAGCATGCACGCTCGTGTGCACACACACACACACACACACACACACACACACACACACATACTTTTGTGAACAGGCACTGGCATTAATTATAAGTGCAAGAAGCATCTTTCAAAATCTATTTTATTGAAATAATGTAACGTTTACACTAACATTTGTTAAGTTAGTTTTCTTGGTTCTGAATAGATGTATCCATTAGTTATTTTTTTTAATTCTAGAGTTAAAAGATTAGAATTTTATTTCAAAATTGCATATTTTGAGACTAGGATATTAAGTGTTTTTAATCTGAAATTCATTTATGGATATTAGTTAACCCAGTAATTCCCAGATAAACAACAACAACAACAACAAAAACCTGGTATGCATGTTTGTGTAACTCTCAATATGGTCCTATATCTTTTATGAAACTATTAAAGTTAACCACTTAAGCTTTATAATTGCCTAATCTGGCTAACATATGATCCAAAAAAAAAAAAATCCATTCAAGACTCATCTATCTTCTCTTAGAGCAAGAACTGATAGTCTGGGCTCAGCCTCTGGCCTCAGTGGGTGCCTCAGATAACTTCGCCAAGAAGCAAGCATGTAACCAGGCTTGCAGGCACACCCCTTTAATCCTAGCACTCACTCAGGAGGCAGAGGCAGGCAGATCTCTGTGAGTTCCAGGCCAGCCTGGTCTACATAGCAAGTTTAGGCCAGCCAGGGTTACAGAATGAAACCTACTCTCAAAATAACTGAAATAAAAATTAAAAAAGAAGACAGCACCTAGGTGTGGCTCATGAAAGGGAATAATACCTGACCACAAGCCTTACCCTCCAATTTACAGAAGCAGAGAGCCCACAATAAATAATAACCAGTAACCTTATACTCAAGGAAGATTTGATCACTTCTCTATCACCCACATTCAGACTCAGTGACTAAAAGATACTTCATTTGTTGTCGACAGTGAGGCATCTATAGCCTGGCTCTTTTGTTAACACACTAAATGTTAACGCATATCCTTGCGCCTCGCTTTCCCCATTTATAGAACAGGGGTGAAAATGGAGCCTCTCTCGTGGGACTGTTTCAGAGATGAAAAGAATGTGTACTAATCACATTCTGTGAGCTCACCTTCACCCTATAAGCGTAAATAAAGAGAAGGTGGAAAGCAGTGTTTGTGTAAACACGAATGTTATCTACAGTTTAATGCCTAAAAGCAACGCCAGCTTCCTCAGTGTGGCAGCCTTCTGTTCAATAAAGCAACTGCTCTAAATTGCAAGCTTATTCACAGGTCTCACTAAGGACATTTTTTACTTTAAATGAAAGAAAAGTCAGCAACAACAATGTGTTCCTAAGTAGTTTCCTTCCTCCTGAATTGGCTCTGGTGCAAATCAGTTTATTCATTACTGATCTAGAGGACTCGGAAATAAATCACTCCTCTTCTGCAATCTGCATTGTTGACATCGAACATTTGTTTGCTTTGCCAGCTGGTAGCAGAAGGACTGGCCTTGGTGTCACACGTGGAACTAATTGCTTCCTTGATACATTAACTCCTCGGGATTAACACTAAAACACTCTAATTTCTGTAGACAACCAAAAAAATGAAGAAGCTGGAGAAGGATACAGCCACATGGAAAGCCCGATTTGAGAACTGTAACAAAGCTCTGTTGGACATGATTGAAGAGGTAAGGAAATTCCTTTCTGAGCTTTTCTCTCCATTTCCCTAATCCTGTCAAAATAATCAATATAACCTACTAGTGCAAATGATTGTTTGAAAATAGGCTGACTTTCAAGGGAGATGTGACACATTAAAATATAATGAAAATAAGACCAAGGGTCATTCAGAAATCTAAGGAAGAGTCAAAGACCTTTGTAAATCTTAGTCACAGGATTATTGAGTAGAAAGTTGTGGCACCATGCCTGCTGGACTGTAATGGTTTTGATGAAGGTTTTACTTGACCTCAAATACTGTTCAGCACCCAGCAAGTACAGTGGATGCATTGGTTTGACCATACCGAGAAAAGACACCAGTCCAGGTAGCCCACACACAGATTATTTTATAGACAGACATGAAGAAATCTTTTTAAAAAAACTCCTTCAGCGGTTATTAGATTGCTGATGTTATGCCAGGACCTGCAGGTTTTCCAACTCTAAAGACAAAGATAGATAAGCTCTGACATGAGTGACAGGGCTTACAAGTGAAGACCCCTTCATGTTAACAAGTAAAAAGAGTCTTATAGGGACAGGGTAGCTGGGGCGGGAGTAAGTAGTAAGCTGATTAGGAGCAGATCCCTGCTCACACTCACACCACTATTACCAGAGGGGGGAAAAAACTGAACAGTTTAAGCAGCCGACATCATGAATTAGTATGTGGTGAGTTTCTGTGGTTATAAGTACCACTTCAACTATTCATCCCAAGTCGCAACCAATTCCCAAGACATGTGTTCATGACTCATCAAGACGAGTCAAATGGCTGCTGCATTAGCATACGCAGTTTATCTATCAAGAAGACATGTTCCCCAGAACACATAAAGCAGTGTTGAGGGTGAAGTCCCAGTCTGTCTTGTTCATTTCATGCAAGCTCTTGCTTTCACCCCTCAGTTCTTAGAAGATTCATGTAGGTTAAGGTTTGACAGGTTCTTCATTGAAGCAGAAAGAAGGCTCGCCATGTTGCTTTTCCAAAGAACAGGCAATGGTGATTACAATTCTATTAGTCTAATAATCGGTGCAAAAACCAAACCAAGTGATCTTCATAAATGTTTGTTCAAACCTAGTAGACAAATTCTGGGACGAATGGTTTTGTCTCTGGAGAGCATTCTAGGGAATCCACTGCTCATGCCATTTGTGTATGTTTATGCCACAGAAAGCCCTAAGAGCTAAGGAATATGAATGTTTCGTGATGAAAATCCAGAGGTTGGAGAACCTGTGTCGTGCTTTACAAGAAGAGAGAAAGGAACTCTACAAAAAAATCAGAGAAGCGAAAATGTCCGAAAAGGAAGAGCAGGGTCAGCACACCTCTGATGAAGAGCCAGAGTCAAATGTCTCTGAAGATAAAGAAATAGATGCAGAGGAAGCCAACAGTGTTCACAGCGCCGTGAAAAACCTGGCCACGGCTTTCACCATCCTTCATCATCCGGAGTCCACCCTGGACCAATCAGAGGAAAGACAGCCCGCAGTGACTAGTCCTCAGGGTGGAAGTGACATCATCCCCCAGCAGCCCGAACTAGCCCTTCTGAACCCTTCTGCTGCTTCGGGGAATCCTGAGCCTCCGGTAGCTTCTCAGGCTGGGGCTGGAGGGGTCTGTGAGGCTGCACCTGCCTCTACAGCCAGCTGTATCCCTACAGGGCCAGAGCTCCAAAGCCAGGGACTCCCTCCTGGGAATCTCCTGGACCTGAAGCTCCAGGAGCCAGAGGCAAAAGCCTCTGGTCAGGCCCCACTGTCCCCAGCCCAGGGCTCCCTAGCTGTAGCGGAGGCAAAATATGCTGCTCCACCATCTCCAGAGAGTGAGGGAGTCCCTGCTGTGGTGCCTGGTTGTGAGCCCAGGGAGCAGCCCCCACCAGCTGTCACAGAGATCCCAGGCCCTCCCACGGGGCTCCCCATAGAGGCGGACACCAGTCTGGATGGAGTAGACTAAGACTCATCGACTTTTTGGGCTGTTCACCCTGCTGAATCTTCCTCACGGCAGAATGTCTGTGAAAGAAACTTCAAGGACTAGGAAGAGAGTTAGGGTCAAGACATTTGTAATGTTGAGCCTTTGCTGCTGTTCGCAATTTATAACTAATGTGGAAATTTTCTGCAATTGCATAATTTTCCCATTGGCAGCCAAACATCAATAGCAAATATATATTTCAGTTCCACTAAGCTGGTACCTTAATCCAGTTTATTAACAGTAAGATTTGTTATTTAAGGACTCCCATTTGCAATATATAAATATTCTGAGATGTTACATTTATTTTCACAAATAATAAGAGCTATAATGACTATTTAGATTCCATTTAAATAGCATAATATACACTGTGCTTATGTGCGTATATAATACACATATCTACATGTGTGGATAAATAATACATGTGTGTACATATACACATGTATTTTCATACATGTATATAAAGTCATCATACATTACAAGTGTATTTCACTCCTTACAGATTTTTCTCTATTGCAAGATATTTATATGCTGATCAAAAGTTCTCTTACTTACACTCTATACTACAGTAGACTAATGCTCTATAAATCAGAAATAGATTCAGAACACAAATATTTAGGCCATCACTACTTTGGCCGAAAAAGGTAACCCAATTTAAGATAAAGAAACTCAACCAGCAGATCAAACGATAGACATAGCAGGTGTGTTGGAATGCCTGTGCAGATGGCATGCGTACACACAGGACCACAAGGGGAAAAGTCACAAGGAGGTGGCTCCCTTCCTCTAATGCTCCTCCTCATCATCTTGGCCATCTTCCTCCCAAATTCCCAGCATCACTTTCCTGGGATGAAGCAGCCTGCTCCTGGCTACCTGTGAGCAAATGGCTGGAAATGGGAAAAGAATCTAGGATTTGAGGGGTTGAGTGTCCTCGGACTACAGGAGGCTGACCCTGGTCACTGTCCCTCTGGCTACTGAGATCTCAAGAAAATACCCACTTCCTGCCATCTCTAACCTTGTCTCTTTTTTTTTTTTTTTGATCTTTTTTTTTCATTTTTCTTTATTATGAAATTTTCTACTTACTCCACATACCACCCACAGATTCCCCTCTCCTCCCTCCTCCCACTCCCCACCCCTCTCTCCCAAGTCACCCCGCATCCCCACATCCCCCACATCAAGGTCTCCCATGGGGAGTTAGCAGAGCCTGGCACACTGAGCCTATCTAACCTTGTCTTTACCTCAAAGCATCTATGCCTTCTGAATTCCCTCCTCTGTATCAAGTAATCATGCCTGGCCCACATCTCAATTAACGTTAAGTAAAACGGATTTTTCCCAAACAGAAGAAATCCACACAAGTTTTCAACAAGAGTGATGAAGCTTACAAAGCCAATCCATTTTCTGCTCTAAGAATTTTTGTACAGGCAGAAGTACAAAAATTTAAAAAGGGGAGGGGACCCTACTCATAATGCAATCACAACTAGTGAGGACACTCCATAGATGTCACAGGTACAAGCCCTGGGGGTTGTCCGGACAAGTTTTACACTCTCATTGTTGACAAGATCCTCTAACAACACCGACAGCATAAATTCCTCGGCCTAGGCTAAAAGAAGACTATCCTAACGAAACAGAAGAGTTGGGAAGGAGGGAGACAGGAGGAGCTCCAAGGGAGGAATGTCTAATCTAACACTACTTTAAGAAGTTGAGTTTGCCGGGCAGTGGCGGCGCACACCTATAATCCCAGCACTCAGGAGGCAGAGGCAGGCGGATCTCTGTGAGTTCGAGGCCAGCCTGGTTTACAGAGCAAGTTCCAATACAGCCAGGGCTACACAGAAAAACCCTGTCTCGAAAACAAAACAAAAAGTTGAACTCAGGTAGAAAAAAATGGATAAAGGCAGATGCCCGATTACTCATCCAGGAAATCATTCTACAGTGGTGCATGTGGCTGTGTGCCAAGGCACACAAGGAGCTGGTAGGCAGTAGCCATATGTTAAAAGAATTATAAAACTGTATACAATGTGTTTGAAGTAGACAGTAAGGGAAATAACAAAAATACCATTTGAAAAAAAAAATTAGGGGGGAAAAAGATGCCATTATTTGAGAATCCATGTGTTTTTAGAGGCTTTGCATATTATAATCACAAGGATCTCCAGCCAAGTTCAACACGACTGGAAATTAAACATTCAATTAACTCAAAGCCAAATATTCACCATAATAATCCCTTCTGTTTACAAGAGTTGAACTTCAAAGAATGGAGTAAGATCATCACAATTAGGTCTCGATCCTAAAGCTTAGGAAGACAGACAGACAGAAGGTGCTGACGTCCAATAAATTATGCATTCTTACATCCAAAGTTTATTATATTCATCCAAAAGGATTTCACAGCAACACATCACTCACAAATGTGTGTACCTCTGGCATGGTTTCAGAGGCTATAACTTCCCTGAAATCTGTAAAGCTTTAATATTGGCTTTGGGAGAATTATTTTAATAGTCAAAGAATGTTTTATTAGAGTTCTTTGTGTTCAAGCTTGGCCTTTCTCATAACAACTCATACTCTCTGAAAGCAGAAAAATCTATCTCTTCTTTATCAAGTTCATGTAACTATTTTTAGAGATGCCAAATCTTTCTAGAAACACTGGAATTATTGTTTTCTAAATGGAATCACATAATGTTTGTACCAATTAAAAAGGCTTTTTTCGCCCAAGTTTTCTAGTAGTTTTTTTTTTTTCTGTTTTATCCTTCCATGATTCAACAATGTTAAGTAAAAATATGGCATTATTCTATTGTTGGTTGAGTTCGGGCTTTCTAAATAAAATGAATATGTAGTAAGTCTTTTGAGAACATAGAGGGAAGAAGGGCTAAGGAATAGAGGAAGAGATCACAGCAATGAGGCTCTAGTCAGAAGCTCTGTGAAAGAAGCTACAAACAGGACCTCCACATGCATGGTTTGACAAAGGACTATCATGCATTGCATTTAAACACTGCAGCACACACACACAGGTTCCCATTCCACACCCTTCCTGTTTACTTACTGGACACTGGATAGCTGAAATATTTAAACTTGACACAGTTGAACTGAGTGTGGTGACACACGCCTTAAATCCCAGCACTCTGGAGGCAGAGACAGGAGGATCTCTGTGAGTTCAAGGCCAGCCTGGTCTACAGAGCAAGTTCTAGGACAGCTAAGATCACATAGAGAGACTTTGTCTCAAAATATCAAACAAAAATAAAACTTGACATAGCTCAAAAAATAAAAATTAAAAGGCCAATTCTAGAAACATACATACACATGCAGTGTAACAACAAAAAATGTCCAACTCCTCTTCACAAAGTGACAAGAATGATAATTCCAAAAATTACAGCATTGACTAAGTAGAGCCACAGTTCTAAAAACAACAACAACAACCTCTATACCCTCCCAAATTTGTGGAACAAGTAGTGGTTTTGTGGCTCTACCGAAGTGATAGCCACCAGCATTCTCTATACCATGTCTGTTAAGCATGGCAAGGCAGCAACCATTGTGAATACTACCAACAGTTCTAATATATCAATCAGAAACTGAGAATCCAGGTGTGTTCAGTTCACATAGCATTTTAATCACCGAGTTACCCTAGCACAGCATTGCCCAGGTCTAAGAGAGGACACTACTCCAAGAATCACTATTGAATTCCTAAGTCCCCATCTGCTGCCAGCTAGCTGGGCTACTTTGGAGAAATGTCTACTATTTCTGGGCATCAGTTCATGTATCCATAAAATGAGAACCTTGGTGCTATGGTTTAAGGGAGTACCGCCGTATCAAGCTTACTTCCAAAGAGGAGGATTTGTGATGGCTTAATCTTGACTGTTGAATGGGTTAGTGAGGCACACCACAGGCTGAGACCGGGAGAGCGTTTTCAGGGAGGATTAACTAAAGCTGGAAGAGCAGCTCTAAACATGAGTAGCACTATCTCATAGGTGAGGGGCCTGGACGAAATAAAAGGGGAAAATAAATAAAAATAAAAGAAGAAAAAGCAAGGCAGCGAAGGCATTCTCTGTCTGTCTGCTTCCTGGCCACCGTGATAGGAGTTCTTCCATCATCCTGGCCCTGCTGGGATGGATGGACACCTCTACAACATAAAAAATAAGTTCTTCACCCCCTTAAGCTCACACCTCAGGTTTGGACACAGCAACAGTTGGCTATTATACTTGCCCTGGATGATCTTGGAGGATTTGGGTATTTCTGATGAAATCTTCAAGACCCTGAAAGTAAGTCAAGTTTCCTACTCTTTAAGGAGGGTTTCATTCTAAGAGATGGATGCATGGCCTTGGCACTTCTATTACAGACCAGAAAAGGAAAAGGAGACAAGAAATCCCCAACCTTTTAATTTTAAAAACCAGACGACAGAAGGATTAAGGATTTTTCCAACATATACAGAGGTTCTCCTACATGTGAGTTTTCGTGCCAGCCCCTATAATGATAGTAACAAGATTAAAGGAAGGACTTCAGGCCTGAGGACTCCCACCCCAGGCCTTGTGAGCTCAATGTAAAGGGGAGGACTTGAAAGACTAGCCAGTGCTCCTCATCCTACAGTGTTCAGCCATGGAAAATACAAACAAAGAGAACATTTTAAAATACTTTTATTCCAAATGGGATACCCAAATCTCCAAGTGGAGAACGTTCTCCTGAGAATGAAGGTTTCTAACAGTACATGGCTATTTGTATGTATATGTAAGGCTATATATTAGTGTATATATATAATATGTTCTGGTGTATATGTGTAGTTTTATGCAAGTATATTGCATACATGTAGTTATTTGTGAATGTTTATGACCAGATATGGCCCTACATATGCATCATAAATTAACATGAACTTATGTAAGCATGTGTAGTTATATTTTTATTTACAGTGTGTGTGTGTGTGTGTGTGTGTGTGTGTGTGTGTGTGTGTATACATGTATGTGTGTTGGGGAGTAGGGACTGAAAGCTCACTCTGAAGATGTGATTTTAGTCATGCGGTTAACAGGTTTTTCCAAAGGTCACATCTTGCTGCACTTTGCTCCATAAACCCTCCTTGGCTTACAGTTTCACAAAGTTTACTGGTTTTGTTTGCTTTGGCTGCTTTCGTTGTCTTGTTTTGTTGGCTGACGATCTGCCTTCTGAATGAGCAAGCAAGCAGGTGGGTGAGTTGGCAAGCACACTGGCAGCTGTTCATTAAATAATTGCACATGCCACCAGTCCAAGGTGACAGCTACCGCTGACTCACGGCTCTCATCCCAGGAAGGCAAGGAGTGTGTCTTGAGAAAGCCTCTCTGCCATTCCTCACGGAGGCCTACAGCTGGAGTCAGGAGGAGTGCACTGCTGGAGACCAAGCTGTCTTCATCCCTGTCTTCCTTGGGGAGAGAGAAGCTCCCCCTTGGTCACTGTCTCTTACCATGGTGACAATGTTATGGGCTGAATTACAGCCTCCTCAATCTCTGCCTCACTTCCTGCAGCTATAACTGCAACCCTGAATATTAAGAATGTTTCCCTAAACCAAAAGCCAAAGAGAAATGGTGTTAATCTGTGTTTTAATCATGAGTCAGAAAGTAGTAAGCCAGAGTTTACTGCAAATAGTACCAGCCAATCTGTCATGCCCATGACTCAGTCTTTCTGTGGGGAGTTTTTTTTCCCCGTGATACAATTCATCTCCTAAAAATATCCAGTATTGACTGGCTGTGCTGTCACAGCTGGACCATCTGGCTGCTCCTCTGACATTATTAGGGGACCAATACAACGATCTTCTAATTCAATCAGGGAGTAATTTGAAGCAATGCCTACTGCCTGCCATTCAAGGAATTAATAATCTTCAAAAGTTAAAGGAAGAGATCTAAATAAACAATAAAGAAAATTAAAAGGTAATAGCAAAGGCACTCACAAAAAACCATGAGAAGATATCAATGTCCAGAATACAGATAGTCACATAACAGCAATAAACAAAGCAAACAAGTCAGAAGAGAGTACGTAGACAGTGGATCCAGGGACAGGTAGCTGATGCATTGTCTGGAGACAATTAGAAAATAATAAAATCCGACTACCAGCCAGCCTGCTTTGTATTCCTCTTCACATCAACCCTAAATAATGCCAGTGGTAAAGCTGCCCTCCTTACCAGAGACCATGATGCTTGTGTGTGCCCTCATCGCTGTCTGTCAGCTTCCTGCCATGTTGGATAAGAGGTAGGAGAAATACAAATGTCTAAAATGCATCAGATACCATCACCTTCTCTCATGCGACTAATCTAACTTTAGATGTTGATGGCTTCTAATATCAGTAAGGATGATAGCACATGGGCACACTCATAAGTTGTCATTAAAGGTCGGGTCTCCTCTCCACTGCTTGTCCATTGGTAGTTCATTCAGGCAATGGACAAGTTGGCCATATTCTTAAACTGTTTCTGATGTGCAAAACTAAAAATTATTTAGCACACAGTACACATATGGTATTGGCATTCCATCCTCAAAGGAAGTCCTTTACCTAGGATATATTCAGTGTGAGTGGGGCTGTCAATCACAATGTCTCTCCCTCTCACCCATTCCTGGGTGAGAAAAGGTTTTTTTTTTTTTTTTTTTTTTTTTTGGTTTTTTGAGACAGGGTCTCTGCCACCCGAGTGCTGGGATTAAAGACATGCGCCACCACTGCCCGGCGAGAAAAAGTTCTTAAAAGCTCAACTCAGGGGCTGGAGAGATGCCTCAGTGGTTAAGAGCAATTGCTGATCTTGCAGAGGGCCAGGGTTTGGTTCCTAGCACCCATATGATGACTTACAGCTGTCTATAACTAGAGTTACAAAGGAATCTGCTACCTCCTTATGCCTGCCACCCTGGGCACCATGAACACATAAACATACACTTAAATATATGCAGGCAAAACACTCATAACCATATAATAAAAATAAATAAATCTTTTTTTAAAAGCTCAACACATTTGAAAAAGAAGCAGAAGGCTCTTTGGCCTTTCCTGATACTGCATTTGCTTCAAGATTAACAGTATGCGGTCTGGGTTTGCAGGCACTGGAGCCCCTCCAATCAAGGAGGCCTAAACAGGCCAAGAAGCTTCCAGTCTTCTATGCTACCTGTTGTTTCTTTCTGCAGGAGTTCTACCTGGTCCTGGGAAATGTTAGCCTGCATGCAACATAAAACTGAAGAGTGGGTGAGCGTAGCGCCGAGACCAGAGGAAGAGAAACGCCGTTTTGGTAATCACATTAGAGCTGCCAGGTCTACTTGGTGCTTTCAGCCCAGAAACTTGTCTTTTGAACAGCTTGTGAGGTGGGCTGCTGTCATGTGCAACTGACAAGCTCTGGGGAGTGGAAACAGGAATTACCAACAGCCGATGTGCCGTGCGGGATCTACAAAACTACAACTTCAAAAGAACTGAGATTTGCTTTAACAACTCTGTTCCTTTAATTTTTTCATTTATCTTTAAAACCTTACAAAGTATGATCTGGGTTAAGAACTCAAATATCCCACCAGCATCTTAGGCTTCTCTTCCTCTTTTCTACCCTCCTGAGTGCTCTCTTTGCTTATTTATGCACACGTGGGGTGCAAGGTGTGTTTTGTATTTTGCAAAAGTATTTTGTGCCTGGCCTCTTTTCCTCACAACTATTACCTATATTTTGTCTTACAGGAATAGTTTACTCATTCATTGTCACAGAGTAATCTATACCACAATCTTTCCATTCCAATATTGGTGTT